TGCCTAAAACCCCTGAGCTTCCGGGGGATCTGCCCCTGGACCCCGCCTAGGGCCCTAAGGCGGACCCCTCGATTCTAATATGACGGTAATCTAATGCCTAAAACCAGGCGCGGATCCAGGATTTCTTAGGGGGGGGCCCACTTTTTTTTTTTTGTCCGAAAAAAAATCGTAACGACTCAGCCAGCCGCTAAATAAACGGAGGGGGTTGGGGGGGGGGGGGGGGGGGGGGGGGGGGGAAGAGGACACTTTTTTGGGGGGGGGTCTCGAAATTTGAAAATTTGACATTTTGTTCCGTTGGGGGGGGGGGTGAGGTCACCTTTTTTAGGTCAGCCATTGGCATATTTAAAAAAATAAATAAATAAATTAAAAAAAAAAAAAAAAAACAATCACAGAAAAGGGGGGGGGGGGGGTTGCTCCAAAATACACACATAAACAACCGAAGGGGGGAGGGTCAACCCCCTAACCCCCTCCCCCCTTCCGTACGTGCCTACTCGTCTGAAAATAGTTTTTCCCCTTCCGCGCGAAGCGCGGAAGTTTTTACGTTTCATTAAAGGCACACTGTCCTACTTGTAGCTACTTGCTCCCTCTATATAGAAAACTTCCCCAATCGGTGCCTGTTGGTCCCCCAAGATCCTCTTTTTCTTATGTTAAATGAGAGCTGAGTTAATGAGATAGCCACCTGTCACAGTGACCTCGCTGGCTCGCTGGGCGGTCTAATCCCTTCTTGCTGAAGTAGTAAAGCCTACCTTTAAATCATTAGAAAAAGAAGACGATTCGTTGTACAGTTTTTACTCTTAATCCTCGTCTTAATTCATCCCCCTCTCCCGCGCAAAGCTCGGAAGCTTTTACGTTTCATTAAATCATTAGAGAAAGAAGATGATTCGTTGTTCCGCTCTCGAAAATAATTTAGTTTCCCCACCCGCGCGAAGCGCGGAAGCTTTTACTTTTCATTAAATCATTAGAGAAAGAGGAAGATTCGTCGTACCGTTATGACTTTTAATCCTTGTCTAAATTCAGTTTCCCCCCCCCTCCCACGCGAAGCGCGGAAGCTTCGACGTTTCATTTAATTATTATAGAAAGAAGACGATTCGTTGTACCGTTCCTGAAAATTATCCTCGTCTGAATTAAGTTCCCACTGCCCTCCCCCGCGCGTAGCGCGGAAGCTTTGACGTTTCATTAATTCATTAGAAAAGAAGACGATTCGTTGTACCGTTCTCGACTCTTAATCCTTGTCTGAATTTCAAATATGTTCTTTGTCTATTCCCTTTTCTTCCTACGTCCTCTTCCTTTACACTCCTCTCTTTTTTGGCCGGCGTTTTATTGGGGGACCACCCCACCGCCCCCCTGGCTACGCGCCTGCTGTCAGATGAACATATGTTGATACCTTGTCCGCCCCGGAAGCTCAGGGGTTTAAGGTTTTAATTTACGGTCAGATGAGCATTATTTTGATACCTAATTGTTACAATGGCAGGTCACTAATTGGCTTGGGGTTCAGGGGGCGGAGCCCCGGAATCTCAAGGGTATTAGGCACTCAATTACGGTCAGATGAGTATCGAGGGGCCCGCCTAAGGGCTCTGGGTTGGGTCCAGGGGGCAGAGCCCCCAGAAGCTCAGTGGTTTTAGGCGTTTAATTACGGTCAGATGAGCATTTTTGATACCTTATTATTTGTGACACTAGCAGGACACTATTTGGCATGGGGTCCAGGGGGCAGAGCCCCAGAAATCAGGGGTTTTAGGCATTAAATGACCGTCACATGAGCATCTAAGGGCCCGCCTTAGGGCCCTAGGTGGAATCCAGGGGGCAGAGCCCTTAGGATTTTAGGCACTAATTTTAATCATGGTCAGATGAGCATATTTTGATACCCCATTATAATGTGACACTGGCAGTTAACTATTTTTCTTTCTCGCTCTCTTTCTTTCTATTTCTCTTTAATATACTTTTTCAAAGAAAGTGTGGGGGAGGGGCTCGAGGATCCCGATCCCCTCCGTTCCGCGGGCCCTGATAATTATGTAGGCATCTCAAGAAGCATTTTCTTGACTGGCTGTAAATTTAGGAATTTGTCATTTTCCAACAAACGCATGAAGTGAGGAAAATTATCTCATTTCAGCATTATTTGTTAACCACCGTTATGGAATTATAAATAAACCACGTTTGAATTCTATTTCTCCAACCCCCCTCCCCTATCAGTATGCCAGTGCCCCCCCCCCCTCCGATCTACACCTTTTTGACGGGAAAATTGCAACTGATATCCCTACCTTTCTTCATTCTCTTTTTTTCCTTTCCCTTTCTCTCCTCTTTAACTTTCCCTTCCCTTACTTATCTCTCTTTTAGGTTTGCTGGGGGGGGGGGGGGGGAGGGGCACGGTCATTTTGGTCCCCGACCCGCTCCACACATTGTTGGCGGGATTAACCGCAACTGATCTCCGCTTCTTTTCTCCCTTTTCTTTTTTTCTTCCTCTTTTTGTTCCCTTTTAGCTCTCCTCTTTTCCTTTTCCTTCCTTCTCTATTTTTTTTTAGCGGGGACGGGTGGGGGGGGGGGGGGGAGGAGGGGGGCTAGGGTCTTTTGCCTCCCCCCTCGATCCACAACTTGTTGGCGGGAAATTGCAACTGATATCCCCCTTCTTTTCTTTTCTTCTTCCTATTTTGTCCTTCCCTTTATCTTTTTTCTTTCCCTTTCCTTCCTTCTCTTTTATTTTTTTATTGGGGGGGGGGGGGGGCAAGTCCTTCCCCCCCGATCTCCTTCTTCCCTCTTTCTTTTCTTCTTCCTCTTCTTTTTTTCCTTTCTCTCCTCTTTCCCTTCTTTTCCTTCTCTCTCTCTCCTTTTTTTTTTTTTTTTTTTTTTGCGGGGGGGGGGGGGGGCCAAGGCACGCTCGGCCCCCCCCCTGGATCCGCGCCTGCCTAAAACCCCTGAGCTTCTGGGGGCTCCGCCCGCTGGACCTCACGCCAATCAGTGTCATGCTAGTGTCACAAATAAGGTATAAAAATATGTTCATCTGACCGTAATCAAATGCCTAAAACCCCCGAGATTCCGGGGTTTCCGCGCCCTCGACCCCACCAGGGCCCCTAAGGCGGGCCCCTGAATGCTTGTCTGACCGTAATTTATTGCCTTAATCCCCTGAGTTATCGGGAGCGGACAAGGTATCAAAATATGTTCATCTGACCGCAGACTCGTAGCCATGGCGGCGGTGGGGGCGCCCCCCCCAAAAAAAAACACTGGCCAAAAAAAAGAGAGGAGAGAAAAAGCTTCCGCGCTTCGCTCAGGAGGGGGGGGGGGGGGGGGGGAGGGAATGAATTCATACAAGAATAAAGAGTCGAGAATTGTAATACGAATCGTCTTCTTTCTCTAATGATTTAATGAAACATAATAATTTCTGCAAGGGTTTTCAAAACAAATGCGTTTAAGTCGAATATTGATGAAAGAATACAACATTTAGATTTTTCTGCGTACAACAGAAAACCCAAATTATTGTTCTGCTTCTAATGATGCTAACTTAATATCAGGGTTGACTTCCCCTCCTTGTATTCAATAATGAGCAGAAAAGTGTAATCTATTCCTTTTTCCATTAGACCATTTTTCTTCAACATGTCTCAGCAACAATTTGTTTATATTCTCTCAGCAAAATAAACCAACATTTCAAATATATACAGGGCGTCTATAGGTTTTTTTTGTAAACAAAACTTTAAAAAGTTACGCAAAACTTTGTTTGAATATAAAGCTAAAATCTGACCGAACATTGCCTGCCCCAGATATCGATTTGCACAATCATGGATTGTATGTGCTAATTCCAATCATGTTTTCACTCCGATGGATTGATCTTACTCCTTAGCAAATAAAACAAGCTACAATAAACACAACGTTTGGAATAATAGAATTGTAAACAGGTTACGTTGGGTTCTTGATTATGTGCATGACAATCAAACCTTTCTGATTATCATAATAATTAAAACACCATATGGAATAGAATCGTAAACAGGTAACCTTAGGTTCTTGATTATAACATTGTGCATGACAATCAAACCTTTTGATTATCATAATAATTAAAACAGTATATGGAATTGAATCGTAAACAGGTAAACTTAGATTCTTGATTAGTGCACGGCAATCAAACCTTTTTGATTATCATAATAATTAAAACAGTATATGGAATTGAATCGTAAACAGGTAACGTTGGTTTCTTAATTATGTGCATAACGATAAAAAATTCATGATTATAATAATACTATAAACACCTTTGTTTTACAATCTTTTTAGGTGCTCTTCAAAAAAAAAATATTAGAGATAAATAAGGTAAAAGTAATTATAGTTGTACAGGTTAATGTACAGAGAAATTCAAGTCCATTTAATTGAAAGAGTGTATAAGCAGGCTAAGGTGATGAGAGTATTATGGAAAGCATATTATCTAGATACTCTAAAATGCAAAGACTCTCCGGAGTCATACATTTTGCACAATAGAAATTTTAGTTATTTTGTGAAAAATTGTTGGACACCAGTGGTGGATCCAGGGAGGGGGGGGGGGGGGCTGAGCGAATTATCGGCCGGCACGATTTTCAAATTTTCGGGAGCAAAAAAACCCCCACCCCCTCCCCCACTATGCGAATTATCGGCCGGCTGTTTCGCCGCTAAATATTTTCTCACGAATTGGGCCCCATCCCCTGCCGCCGGCTGGATCCGCCCTGTATAATACTACTAATTTGATAAACCGACCCTCAGACCACAGATCAACCGGACCTTTAGCCATAATATCGAGCGGCCCGTGGGGAAATCTCCTCGAATTCAGAATAGCCAGTCCGCCCTCGCTTTTTCAGACTCGTCAACAGCATGAAATGATGAGGCAAGGAGGTTATCAACAAGCATGGTGGATACATTACAGTATGAAATTAATGATGGATAGCTGGTTGAAGGTGCCTCAGTATAAAACGAAGCAATTGCATTACTTTTCTAAAATCGTAATACATAGGTATGTTTAGTTTTCTCCGATTGTTCTCTTCATTCATACATAGGTCCTTTCTCATGCACGAAACCGCTATGTCCAGACTCTGATATACCAGGACTAGGTAAGTAAATGCATCACAGTTTACCGAGACCATACGGGATTACCGAGGGAATATGGAACAGTGTAATTACATAAATATAACGGGAATACGGGGGGGGGGAGGCATTTTGGACAGAGAGAATACTTCAATATAAAGGGAATGCGGGACAAAGGGAGTTAGGGACAGAGTGAACGTGGGACAGAGGGGATATGGGATAGACGTGACAGAGGGGATGGATACAGGGATTACAAGATAGGAGCAATACAAGGACAGGAGGGATGCCGAATATAAAAAGATTACGGGATAAAGGGAATACAGGGACAATGGGAATATTGGGACAGAGGGAATACAGGGACAGAGGGAATACAGGGACAGAGTGAATACAGGGACAGAGGGATTACAGGAACAGAGGGAATACAGGGACAGAGTGAATACAGGGACAGAGGGAATACAGGGACAGAGGGAATACAGGGACAGAGGGAATACAGGGACAGAGGGAATACAGGGACAGATGGAATACAGGGACAGATGGAATAAAGGGAAAGAGGGAATACAGGGACAGAGGGAATACAGGGACAGGGGGAATACAGGGAATGAGGGAATACAGGGACAAAGGGAATACAGGGACAGATGGAATAAAGGGAAAGAGGGAATACAGGGACAGAGTGAATACAGGGACAGAGGGATTACAGGAACAGAGGGAATACAGGGACAGAGTGAATACAGGGACAGAGTGAATACAGGGACAGAGGGAATACAGGGACAGAGTGAATACAGGGACAGAGGGAATACAGGGACAGATGGAATAAAGGGAAAGAGGGAATACAGGGACAGAGGGAATAAAGGGAAAGAGGGAATACAGGGACAAAGGGAATATTCGGACAGAGGGAATACAGGGACAGAGGGAATAAAGGGAAAGAGGGAATACAGGGACAGAGTGAATACAAGGAAAGAGGGAATACAGAGAAAGAGGGAATACAGGGACAGAGGGAATACAGGGAACGAGGGAATACAGGGACAGAGGGAATACAGGGACAGAGGGAATACAGGGACAGAGGGAATACAGGGACAGAGGGAATACAGGGATAGAGGGAATACAGGTATAGAGGGAATACAGGGACCGAGGGAATACAGGGATAGAGGGAGGGACAGAGGGAATACGTGGACAGAGTGAGTACAGGGACAGCTAGAGAGAATACGTGGACAGAGTGAATACAGGGACAAAGAGAATACGTGAACAGAGCGAATAAAGAGGGAATTTTGAGTATGTTGATGAATAAATAAAAAAATTTGAGTAGACGATTAATTGTCTTTTTTCTCACTCGCTGGCAAAATTTAGAAACGGGAAGGTGTAAGCAAATTTCATGAATACCCCATATAACTATTCAGTCAAGTCACTGTCTGAATATCATTACAAGGTACCCGAATATAATTTATCTAGTATGTTTTTATCGTAAAAAGTTTTTTTTTTTAAAACCTTATTAATCATTAACGAATGAACAATATGAAACTAAATATTCCTATGAATTACTTTATGATCAAGTATAATGCTTTATGAATAAATTGTTTTCCTAAAAGTGTTTTATTTAATGATACCAAATTCCTGTTATATAGTTGGGCAGAGGAAACTAAATTTGAGCGAAATATCAATAGCCCACGCAGAGGAACAAATTTTTGGACCCTCTGCGGGAAAAGTTCGGACCTCTGTGAAACGAGCCAATGAGATTCTTCTGAAGAAACTCGTCGATCCCAAGACTGGAAAAATTACGAACGTTGATTGGCTCTTCGATCAAGTCCTTGACCCGGATGCAATGAATATAAGCAATTATTGGTATCTTCCGGGTGGACATTGGAAACCAATGAATTGTTTACCGAGATGGAAGGTAAATATGGTTCTGATTTCTTAAAGGTACTTTGTCCCATTTGCAGGCCCCAAAAAATGAAAAGGTTAAATTGCGACGGCATTTGAAAGACAATACTAATTTAGAACCTCCCTTAAAAAAAAGGGGGCTTGAAAAGGTCTTTAAGTGGGAAAATATCGACTATTAGTTGTCGAATCGACTTAGGAGCTATAGAGCCAGTAAGTAATAGTCTGATTTTTCAGACCATTGTACCGAATGGTCGTATACCTTTTATGCTTTGCGCAAAGATTCAATCAGTTTTATTTTTGCCATAAGTGGGTAATTGATGTAGACAAATGCTCATGTACCCTTAATAATAATAATAATATCGAATATTTAGGAGCGCTAAAAACAATAAGTACCATAGCGCTTACAAATACAAATATATGTAAAGAGGACAAGAAAGTACAGTACAGGAAGTATATCACATAGATCATTGGGGGAAAAGGTGAGTTTGAGGGATCTTTTGAAGGTGGCAAGACAGGTAATTTTCCTTATGAAAAGAGGGATGCTGTTCCATGTCTTTGATGCAGCTACTGCAAAGCGTTTTTCAGCTACTGAGAGTCTAGATTTGGGAATGTTAAGTTTACATGTGTCGGTTGCTGAACGAAGATTACGAGTTGGTGTATATATTTGGAGGGTGTCATTAAGATATTCAGGTGCCAGATGATTGAGTATTTTAAAAGCATACAAACAGAATTTAAACAGAACACGTTGGTGAAGAGGTAACCAGTGGAGCTCCTTAAGTAAAGGTGAAGTATGAGTTCTTGACCCAAGGCCAAAAATTAATCTAGCGGCACGATTCTGGACAGTTTCAAGTTTCCTTCTATCTTTAGCAGATAAAACAGTATAAAGACTATTGCAGTAATCCAATCTAGAAATAATAAGAGCTCGGACAGCATGGTGACATGTCTTTAAATCAATAAATCTGCGAATCCTCCATAAATTGCGGAGATGAAAATTACTATTACGGACTACTGGTTTACATGAGAGGTCAATTTGAACATATTATCGATGCATACACCAAGATCTGTAATTTTAGGAGAGAGAGGAATGAATTGATTATTTACTTTAAGCTGTACATCTGATATATATTGAAGATGGTGAGCGGAAGAACAGAAGGCCATGAATTCAGTTTTGTTATTATTAAGTTGGAGATAGTTCGACGACATCCAAGTGCTGATCTCTGCAATGCACAGTGAGATTTGGTGGAGTGTTTCGTTAATGTTTTCCAAAGAGCGTGGGTCAAAAGAAGTAAATAACTGAATATCATCAGCGTAGCAAATATACTGTAAACCATATTTATTAATAATATCAGATATTGGGGTGATATATAAACTAAAAAGGATCGGTCCGAGAACTGACCCTTGAGGAACTCCAAAATCAGATACCCATGGGTCAGATAATTCCCCAGCTATATTTACCCTGGATGACCATCCAGTTAGGTATGACTTCATCCAACTAAGAACTACACCGGATATATGAAAACGAGACTCTAAACGATTAAGTAATATCACATGATCGACCGTATCAAAAGCTGCACTAAGGTCTAATAAGACTAAGAAAACTGACCTTCGTTGATCAAAAAATGTTAAAACGTCATTCTGTAGCTTCAAAAGAGCTGTTTCAGTGCTGAAATTGGACCTGTAAGCTGATTGCATTGGATCATATAAGCTGTTATCGTTTAAGTGGTCTGTGAGTTGAATAGCTACTACCTTTTCTATCAGTTTGGCAACATGTGAAAGATTACTAACAGGCCTGTAGTTACGTAAAGTATCCTTATCTAAGTTGAGTTTCTTGATGATAGGTACAACTACAGCCTCGTGAGCAGCTTCTGGGAAAATACCAGATGCTAAAGAACTGTTTACAATACAAGTTAAGGCAGGAACATTACAATTGATAAGTTTCTTCAAAAGCCAAGTAGGTTGAGCATCTAACATAGAAGTAGCATTAGACATATGGATTATAATGCGTTTGATATTATCTTCGCTCACAGTTTCAAACTCATTCCAATCATTCTCATAAACAGTATTGCACATCCTACAGCCTTCACTACTTCGTGGAGGTATGCCTGTGACATTGTTGTGAATATCACTTATTTTATTGACAAAGAACAAAGCAAAACGGTTTGCTAAGTCAGTAGGATTTTCATACATAGGGAGAACTTTTACATTCTTGTGGAGCAGATTATTAACCGTTTGAAAAACAGTTTTAGCACTAGCTTTACAGAGTAATTCCATTATGTATTTTTGCTTTGTCTTAACAATGATCTCATTAACATGCCTGTTAGATAGCTTAAAAGCTGTGTGATCTGTCTCAGAAGAGCTTTTGATCCATTTCCGTTCAGCCCGTCTTCTTACACGGCGTGCAACAAGGATCTCCTCATTGAACCAAGGATTACGAACCCTAGTGGAGCGAAGAATTGATTTCTGTGGGGCAAACTCGTCGACACAGGTTGCCACGGCTGTGGTATAGGCAGCAAGAAGTGAATTTACATCACCAGTCATAGAAAGCGGGTTGTTGACTCTAACAACCAGTGCTTCTTTGAAGCCTTCGACGTCCATCTCTTTGAAGTTCCGAAAAATCTGCTTTACTTTGCACATCACTGGCTTGGGACACTTCAGTACAAAGCGTATACAGTGATGATCAGACATAAGGTTGCGGTGTATGACAATGTCCTCTATGACACAGTCATGGATAGAATTAATGTCTGTAGAGGATTGTCCCTGTAGATTATCCTCATTCCTGGTCATGACAAGGTCCAAAGTGTGACCCATGTTATGGGTAGCATCATGGACGTGTTGAGACAGGTTTGCTGATTCTATGATGGAAAGGAACTGGGCTACCTCAGACTTTGAAGGCATATCGACATGGATGTTAAAGTCTCCTAGGAGAAGAACTCGTCCAGATAGCCGTGATATCTCAGCGGTAAGATCATCAAGTTCTTGAAGAAAGTCTGCAGTACGAAACCGATTTCGTGAAGAAGGTGGGGGTCGATAAACTACCAGGAAATGAATCGAACCTGCATTACTAACAACGTGTGCGAGTTCAAAAGTGGAGAAAGTCACAGATTCACAAACCTTCAGATGTAGTTGAAATGGAGACTTGAAAATGACTGCAATGCCTCCATGAGGATCGGTCGGCCTTGGAACATTCATAAACGTGTACCCAGGTGGAGAGCATTCGGCGATGACGACTGGATCATGACGACTGGACCCTTTACAGCTCATTTAATGTACGTTATTACCAAAGATGGAAAAAAGCCAGTCAGTCACTCAACACTGTCTGACAGTGAAGTCTAGCAAGTAAACGGGTTTCCTTGCACAATTTGAATATTAGGACACTGCTAACGTTTAAATTTCACAGATAGGACATACATGACATATTCATAATTCCTGCAAAGTTCTACTAAGAATTTGATGTTGGCTGCAAAAGGGACATAGTATCTTTAAGTGAGTTGTGTCGTTAAATATAAACCGACGACAGAGCTGTCGATGTAAAAAATTTACCCCTTCATTATGAAATTTTCCTTTATGAAAATTTTCATTTCATTTCAATGACACTTTGTATCTCCTCCTCTTCTTACGCTCATTCGCATAATACACTCTAATTCTTAGATATAATAGACAAATTGGGACCTACAGATATCTCATTAAAAGAGAACTAATCGTTTGTTTGTAAGAGCGAGATAATTAACATTCAAGATGACCGGAGTAGTAATGATATATGTAAAGCGTTTGGAGAAGGTATTTCGTATTAAGCACTATAACATTCCATATTTATTATCATTTTGTATTATTAAGATAAAGTGAAGGGTTAGGTTTTTAGTGGAAGACGGGGGGAGGAAACTATTCGCTCAGAAATATTAAAGATGTTCGCTCTCCCCCAACCCTATTTAGAATATAAAAATTAAAAAACCGAGAGTAAAAAAGTGTCTAAAATTATGTTTTAACGCTGCTCATAACTACCTGTGTGTTATTAAGGTACACTAATTACATGTTAAGTTTCAGTCGTTAACAAATTGTACCCATGTATCATTCTAGTTGCATGACACATTACCGAACTAAATTAGATCCTTGAAAAACGTTCGATTAAAAGTATTTGCTCTTTTCTCACGTGAATGTTTTACATTCCTCTTTGTCCGTTTAGGTTGCTATTTTAATACCATTCCGAAATCGCTTCCAGCATCTTCCAATTATTCTGCAATACTTGACACCGATGCTTCAGAAGCAGCTACTCGAATTCAGCTTCTTTATTGTGGAGCAGGTCTGTAGTCGTCATCTTTTATTTCATTTTATGCTCTGTTATAAAAAGGACGTCGATCTTTGAAGGAGAGGGGGTGTGCATTTGCAATGACCGAGAAGTGATTTCGGAATTTTTTTGTATTTTGTATTTATTAACATTTATTTCCTTCTCAACAGTACAATATGAAACACAATGTATATATACATGATATATGTAACAATTATTTCAACATAGAGTATACAGTAAATAATTCAGATATGGAAGGAGGCGAAACCCCGGAAAGCATAGCTTGAGTTGGGAACGCCCATAATAAATTAACACAGTTACCGAAAGAACATTAGAGATATAATTATGAAAATTACATTTTATTTAACAGAAAGTTGATAGGAAAGAACAAAAATAGTAAATGGAACAGAAAGAAGAAAAAAAAATGAGGAGAGAATTAAGATGCAATGCTGGGGAATTGATAATTGTAGGGCCTTCAGGGAGAACAGTGTTTATGCTGATGAGACTTTTCTTGTTTAATAAGATTACTGCCTTTATTATTATTGTTATCACTATTATTATTATTATGATTATTATCATAACTCTCAATATCATTATCAGTATTTTTATGAGTAGTAGTAATGGTACTAGTAGAAGTAGTATTAGAAGTTGGAGTAATAATAGAAGCAGTAGGGCCTTCAGGGAGATCAGTGTTTAGGCTGATGAGACTTTTCTTGTTTAATAAGATTACTGCCTTTATTATTACTGTTATCACTATTATTATTATTATGATTATTATCATAACTCTCAGTATCATTATCAGTATTTTTATGAGTAGTAGTAATGGTACAAGTAGAAGTAGTATTAGAAGTTGGAGTAATAATAGAAGCAGTAGTAGTAATAATAGTAGTAGCAGTGGTGGATCCAGGAATTTCTTACCGGGGGGGGGGGGGGGCACTAAATCACATGGGGTGAAATTATTAAAAATGATGGAGCGAAGCAAAAAAGCGAGGCGTCAGCGGCGAGGGAGCGAAGCGACCAAGGGGGGGGGGGTTGGTCTAGGAGGGGGTCAGGAACACCTCCTAGAGTAGGAAGCAATTTCAGAACCATATTGTGCGCATTTTCAGGCACTTCCTGGAGTAATGTGACGTAAAATTGCTTTCTCCTGACCCCTCCAAGAGTAGGGATCTTTTGCAATTTGAGAACCATATTTGGCGCATTAATGTCCACCTGCACTTCCTGGACAAAAACGAGGCCTTCTAATTGGTTAGAAGTTAGAGAAACGTGATCTGTCATGTCGCGAGACAATGCACAAAGGCGGTGGTCTGGTGCTTCACCAGTAGTACTCGCAAAACTTACATGTATCTCAAGTGTATGAACTGTGGTTTTATCAGGGGCATCGCTATCCTTTTCTCAATGGGGGGGGGGGGGGGGGGGGTAATGTAGAGGTCACCGATTACCGACAAAACTAGCCACCAAAGCTGTGACACTTTATTAAATTATTAGGGAAACAATACGATTCGTTGTACCATTCTCGACTCTTAATCCTTGTCTGAATTTAATCCGCCCCCCGCGAAGCGCGGAAGCTTTGACGTTTCATTAAATCATTAGAGAAAGAAGACGATTCGTTGTACTGTTTTCGACTCTTAATTCTTGTCTGAATTCAGTCTCCCCTCCCGCGCGAAGCCCGGAAGCTTTGAATTTAGCTTTCACACTTCATTAAATTGTTAGAGACAGATCACGATTCGTTGTAGGCCTATATGCCGTTCCCGATTCTCACCTCTTGTTTTGCCCCTCCAGCGCGAAGCGCAGAAGCTATGACGTCTCATTTATTTATTAGAGAAAGAAGACGATTCGTTGTACCGTTCTCGACTTTTAATCCTTGTCTGAATTAAGTTTACCCCTCCCGCGCGAAGCGCGAAAGCTTTGACGTATCATTAAATCATTAGAGAAAGAAGACGATTCGTTTACTGTTTTCTATATATATATATATATATAAAGCGTTTTAAGAGGGCCTTCGGTCCTGAAAAGCGCTCTATAAGAACTAGCTATTATTATTATTATTATCAATTTCCTTTACTTGCTGCCGTTCATCACTCCTTTGTCGATGCATGTAGTTGATACTTTGTTACCCCTGCTTCCTCTTTGAATTGCGGCCATGTGAATTGCCATGGTCATTATGATTTTTGATATGTCTTGGTCATCATTGAGTAATCTCATCCGAAATTATTCCTATCCGAACATCTTCCAGAGAACCGCCAAGCAGGTGGTGTGACGATAGTTCGATGGTACATTTCCTTTGGGAATTCCTTTAGGGTAAGAAGACTGTTCTTCCTTTTGTCATTCATTCTGATGGATTTCTGCTCACAAACATCTCCTCTATCTGCAGCCTCAGCCTCTCGTGCAAAGATTTGAATTATTTAATCCATAAGGCCTGCAGCCTGCTTTGCGTCTGGACCAGCAGCCTTCTACGTGCCATCTCCTGAAAGACCGTTTTTAGCCGATTCTTGTTGATTTTCAAGTCATCTTGGGGAAGCACTTTGGCACATTCCTATTTGCTTGTCTTTAACCACTGACCTTTTCGATTGTGGTATTGTGCTTCTCTCCAGATGCTGCTCCGGAAGGCAATTATAACTATAGGTTCTAGTGATGGAAGTTCATATTTCCATTGAGTTCTTGCTAGAACCCTTTTTGATGTTGTAATTTTTGCTGAAACATGGTATTTTCCCTGTACTGTGCTACTTCGTCAGTGCATGTCTTCATTGGTTCTAATTATTCCTCTTTCACCGTCTCCATTCCTTTTCCCTGAACATCATACTTCTCAAAGAAAAATCTTCCATTCTTTTATGACCACCCCCAGCTGGATATCCGTCAGTCTCGTTAGATATATTCTCTATCCCTCTACCTGTTTACCTTGTTTTAGTATCTTCTTTTCCTTGGTGGTAGGAAATATTAAGATGTTTGTTCCGTTTTTTACACCAATAATCTCTCTGTTACCAGGATTGGTCCAGAATAGAGCATTAAAAACCGCAATGGATGTGATTATTAAACTATAGACCTCTGTCTTGCCAGGTCTTGTACATCATTATTGCTCCGGTTGTCTCATTTTCGCTCGCTGGACGTGTATAACAGACGACAATCGGCGGATTAGACGACACTTGGTAGTGAATTTGTATGTGAGATTGCTTTGCTAAATATAAAATACAAGAATATTTTCCATATCTTTTAACTATTATTGATATCAGATAATTAAACAGTTATTAAAATAAATCTACCAAACTATATAATACAATGAAACACTTGACTTAAAGTAGGGGAGTTTGATGTGGTGCACAATTGCATCCCTCTGTAAATAATCGAATAGTCCATGGCGATCATGAATATTCATGTATTTGCTTACCTCGGCAAAATGTTTGCTTATCTTCAATGGAAAAATTACGGTGGGGGGTTGGCTGAAATGGACACAATGAACCGATCAAAACTGATCTATTATAAATCATGCTTCTTATCCTTCGTGTTCTTGACCTAAAACCTTACAATCGCTTGGCAAACTGAGTCCAAAGTTCGACTTGTTTCACATGTGTTATATAGGCAATGGCGAGCTTGCAACCTATTTTGATCAAATTACGGTGGGTGAACTTTCAAAAGTCAATGGGAGATGAGGGTTCCAATGAAAGAGCTAGTGATAACGTACGTCGGGTGGATCTGCTTTTCGTTTAAACAAAAAATGAATTTTTAACGATTTTTTTGTAAAATTCCATAGGCTAACATGTTAGGCTGCTGACTCTGACGATAGGGGACGTTGTCAAATGAGACTAAACGGAGCTATATGTCTGTTGATTTAGCCCATTCCTCGTCAGGTCTGCTCTCAAAATAACATCCCGTGACGTTTGTGCTTTATTTGCAGTGGACACATGCAAGCGTAGTTTATGCCTGCTTTAATAGAACATGTAGAAAAAATAACCCTTTTTCTTACTCATGTGTAATCTGTAATTTTATATTTAAACAAGCAACAACAAACAAGGAAAAAATTGAGATGAAAACATGCATCTGTACACGTCTCTCTTTAATACGACTATGTGGTGTAGTGAAAAGACCAATTAATTTTAAACAACATGCTGTACAGACAACTAGAAAATTGTGTTTAAAATTGAACCGTTCGTTGTATCCACTAATGTGATGAAAATTGGTTTTATTTCTCTTTCTCTCTCTCTCTCTCTCTCTATTTTGCCCAGGCTAACCAGGAACTCTTCAACCGCGCGATGCTCATGAACGTCGGGTTCCTCGAATCACTTAACTTCACCGACTACGATTGTTTTGTCATCCATGACGTCGACCATGTACCCATCGATGAGCGTAATTACTACGGCTGTTCCAGTATGCCCAGGCATTTTATCTCCGGGTCTGATAGATGGAATTACAAGTAAAGAAATTTTACACTTCAATGAATGATTTTAAAGTGGGCCAGAGGTCAGCTCTTTCAGTCTTTAAATACTCTGACAATCATACTCGAATCGCATTTAAAAAAAGTAAACATTATTTTGGCGACACTTGCTCTAAGTTTACTTTCGTCATTTAGAGTGGGAGTTGTAGGTTGTGACCGGGTTTAGAGGTTAGGTTTAGGGTTTAGCATATAAGGTATTGGGTCCTGTGTTGAAGTATGGAATTCGATAAGAGTTGGGTATTGATCTCGGCGCCATCACCACCGGAGCATGTGTCGTACTCCTTTCAAAAAGTGACAACTCCAAAGTCAATAATAGTCCTGAAAAGGGTTCCTTGTAAGCCTCATTTTTAACATTTGTAAGATATTTTTTGTGTGTATAATCGCTAAAGCGCAAGTCTTTTACTCAGTATTCGGCAATCTGCAGTATCAGCTGCATGTCTTATTATCTAAACCTATTGTGTTAACCTTTTTAAAAACAATTTCTGAATATGCTGTATAATCGCTTCACGAATTTCGTAGATTTGCCATGTCAATGAATGCGCTACTACCTGCGTTAATTGAGCCTTTGAGAACCATTGGCCTATATACGCCAGTGTTTAATATGAGAATTGTTGATTTTGCAGTTTTTTTAATTTTTTACTGACGCAGGCCCTCGTTAAGCAAATGACGCCACGTGCGCAACGGGTATAATAAATCGCTTTTCTACTTATGTTCTAGATTACCGTATAAAGATTTCTTCGGAGCCGTCACTGGTCTTACTAAAGCCAACATCCGAAGCATCAACGGCTTCCCTAACGTTTACTGGGGGTGGGGTGGTGAGGATGATGAAATATACCGAAGGGTCATGGACGCTCACCTCAAAATCACCCGCGATAAAGGAGACATCACCCAATATAACGTCATTAAACATCATCACAAAAGCGCACCCGCGGCAAAAGACAGGTAGGCATTGTATTTGCTTTGGATGCAATCTGATTATGAATATTTCTATACCGTGTGAGTCAAAAAAAAAAGTTTACACTTAGAAAACTGCTAATTATTTAAAAAATCATCTATGAACAGTAAATGATTATACATCTTATGAAAGGGTGTTTTATCCCAAATCATTTGGTATCATTTTTGTGTGGTATGTGTTCACGCTTGGATGAACAGGGGGCATCGTTTGCGAGAGTGCAAAAATCGATTTGCGCCAAAGTTGCTTGTGTGATGTTTGAACAAAGCAATTGGGATTTGGGTATTAATTCGGTCTTTGCAGATCCAAATAACATCCCTAAGAAAACTAATCATGCCACACATATCAAATATCGAATATTTAATATCAACGAACATTAAGTGCGCTCCTGTGTGTGACTTTGCTACGCAATGCATTTCATTTGATACATTCTATTCATTCTCTCCTCCGCTAATCCCAACATTATACATGGGGTAGGCATCACTTTGGCGCAAGTCGATTTTTGCACTCTCGCAAAGAATGCCTCATATTCATCCAAGCGTGAACACATACCACACAAAAGTGATACCAAATGATTTGGGATAAAACACTCTTTCGTAAGATATATAATAATTTACTGTTCATAGATTATTTTTAAAATAATTAGCAATTTTCTAGGTGTAAACTTTTTTTGACTCACGCGGTATAGGCCTACTCAAACTTTCCATGCAAGCTGCTTGGAGGAATGACCCAAATACCCTCTTCCTTAGTATAATCAGTTTAATATTAATTATTTTGAACCCTATAATTGCACAATAGATTACTCAAGTTGGTTTTAAAAAGATATTTAAAAAACTTGCCTAAAGGTGGTCGGACGCATGATTCTGGCCAGAAAAGTTGTGCATAAACATACCCTAAAAGATGTGATTTTGGTGTCCAAACATAGGTTTGGGGATCTAAGAATCTACTCATACTACTTAAAATGGATTATATGGACATCAGAAAAACTGGAAATCAAATATCCTAACAATGACAAAAAATGAGTTACTATTTACATAAAAGGTCTAATCAGAAGGATTAAAAATAATTGTTCAGAGTTCAGGATATTCACTAGTATGCTTTAAGCCCCACTGCAATAGTTATAGCTACTTTCGCCCTCTATATAGCAAACAATGCATAATCGGTTACCATTGGTCCCCCATTGTCCCCTTGTTCTTATGTTAATGGAGAGCTGATTAGATGAGATAACCAAGTGTCAGTGACCATGCAGGGAGGTGTAATCCCTCCTGGCCAAACTAGTGCAGATAGGCTTTAAATTATTATAAAGGTTTAGAATAGCCTTATTGACTACATTATACCAAAGATGGCTGCTATTTTGTATTCTAAGATGATGGCCGCCGGAAAATGAAATTAACCATAAATCGTGATATATCTTAGAGATATAATGTTGGTGACTAACCTAACTTTCGGGAGTCGACAAATCTATTGAGACTGTTTAAACTGTGGTATGGCCATCAGAAAGTCTAGAAATCCATGATGTTTTCCAAAAGATGAATGCAAGAAATGTCTGCCAATAAGGTGAACATGGTAGCCTTAGATAAAGAGGGATTTAGTTTTCCGCCGTTCGCCGTCCTCGTCCAAGATGGCTTGCGGCATTTAACAAAACGTGTAGAATCATTAGCCCCAGTATTGGTGCCAATCCCTTGTTTGGAGAAAGAGAATAATGAATCCATTAAGACCAGTTTAATTGTCATGTAGCAGACAAGAATCATACAGATCCAAGGCGTAGAAAATGGCAACATATTCCCTAAAATCCCCAAAGAGAGTTACTAATCAAAACACAAATCTCTTTCGTCATTTCTTAAAATGTAAGTTTATGCTTTAAACAAATTAATTAATAACTTTGGTAGCCTATTTTTCAAGGTAGAATCCACGATTTTTGCCATTATGGCATTTATGCAAGATGCCATTTATGACTTAAGGGCGTAGGTCCCTTAGTTGATAAGCATAGTAGCATACACATGCTTTGGCAGTCACGCAAAACAAACACTGGCAAATTATTATTCAATAAAATCTGAGAACGTATACTATTATCTAGATCTATTAGGAATAAATCATTGTCACAATAATTCCATGAATTGGGGTAAAAAAGAAAATATTCCAACTTTTATGAGCAACAGTGTAAATAGTAACACGAATCTTATTATGTTGAGATACTGGCTTCCATTTTGTAGGCCATCTTAGACTTACGTGTTTTCTGATGGTCATAGCACATTTTAAAAAGTCTTAATGGATTTGTTGACTACCGAAACCCAGATAATCACACCAAAATTACATCTCTAAAATGGATATGTCACGATCTATGGCTAATTTCAGTGTTCAGCTACCATCTTTAGTATTTTTTTAGTATATTAAGGCTACTCTGAATTTTTATGATAACTTGAAGCACGCAAGTGAATATGCTGACCTCTAAAACACACTTTTAATCTTGCTATTTACAGCTATACTGCGTAGAATAAATCACTTCCTGTTATTTTCAAGAGACTGGCGGTCATTTTAGACGCCATCTTGAATTTCCTGATCTTCTGGTGCCCATAACTAACTGTAAGTGGTATGAATGGATTCTTCGACTCCAAAAACCTAGGTATAGACAATAACATTTCAATGATAGATATATCATGATTTGTCGCTATTTTAATGTATTGGCGGCCTTCTTGGACGCCATTTTGAAAGTAACCACTTCCGGGGGTCTTACATTTTAAGTGTGTTGTTCCTGATGTCAAGCACTACCGAATTGCATTGCAAAGCTGCAATGAAATAATACCCGGCAATCAATGTTTGTGTTCTTTTCTCTGATTGGTCCTTCAGATTGGCTCTTTTGAGCACATACAAACGTCGAAACGGAATGGATGGATTGTCGAACATCGTTTATCCGACCCCCGTGTACGACCTCCATACTCTTTACACTAACGTCAGCGTCGACATCAAGAGGATCAAACCACATCATCCAACGCCAGCGCCAAAGGCTGGTAAACTAGCCAAAAAGATAACCATTGCTGGACCGGCGATGAAAGGAGGCCGCAAAGAGCCAAAGACATCGGGCCGGAAGTAGTCCGCAAGCCCGTTATATACAGGCCTCCAGCAAAAGCGAAGAAGGATCCCCCGTCTAATACCAGACGGGCAAGGAAGGAAAGAAGAATAGCCACAAAGATTGTGAAAGAGAAAAGACTGGAGGGGACGAATCTTTTAAATTTTAATCGAGAAAACAGCCCAGTGATTTGTCTCACTGAAACTTGGTTGCACCAGTCTCCAGACTCTCATCTACACATTGATCTGCTCACCAACAATCAACAAGAAGAAACAAAGTGTGGGGTAGGTATTTACCAAACAGTGCTCTTATAGGGTGAAGGTTTCACACAAATTCGTCAACTGCTATATTTGGGTTTTTTAATAAATTAGTTACAATTATTGTTCCCCTATTTTGTATTTGTTCACCAAAATATAATTTTTACCTTTTCCTATGTAAAAAGGAAACATGTGACCCCTCCCCCCCCCCCCCCCCCCGCGAGCACCGCCTATGCCTGTCAAGAATATTTTTATTTATATAGTTATAGTTAAATATACTTAAAAAAATTATACCAATGGCTGACCTTAAAAAGTTAACCCCCCCCCCCCCACCCCGCTTATTCAGCGGCTGGCTGAGTCGTTGCGAAATTTTCGGCCAGATTTAAAAATATTAACCCCCCCCCCCCCCCTTGAAAAAATCCTGCGTACGCGCCTGGGAATACGTGACGAGGGGCAAAAAAGCTATAGCTTTACGTCTCTACACCAAAGTAAGTAAGACAGGTAATACATCTCAGTTCATCATAACTAACATTATTTTTTGGGGTGAGGTTTCCCTTAACATCACCTCCCCATCACCTGTACCAACCCCGTGGACTCTTTTCTGCCCACGATCGCATATTATCCTTTGTTTTATCCGTTTGTATTCAGAATGTATAAGTTTGTATTCAGAACTTAAAATTCAATGTTACATTTCTGTTTCTCTAAACAGTTTTTTTAGTTAGGTTTTGTGTTTGTTTTTATGAATTGTTTTCATCCGTTCATGGTGTTAATTTAGGGGTCAGGGTACTATAGTCGACATGAAGTTATTATTGTTTGCATATTGTATTAAATCATTTTTTGGAAACTGCAATATTCATGTTCAAACTATATACTTAACAATATGCTTCCTGAAGTTTTAGATAATAATATTACTTTAAATTGTTCTGTTCATAATTAAATTACTAGGAATTCCCAAAATATTCATCCCCCATTTAATCGTATCCCGATAACGCAATCTTCCATCTTCTACAACGGCTCAGTTTTATGGAATAACATTCTTATATCAGACAATCAACCAATTTAACGAGTACATAAGCAATTTCTTTTTGACAAATAACTGATAATTGGAATGTTTGTGCAATGTTTCATCCTTCTTTTACATATTCTTTATTTTCTCTGTTTTGTAATCTTAATTTTGTGTAAATTATGTCCTAACGTTATTGTTATTTTGTATATTGTGTGAAGATTATTTTTAACTAGCCATTTATGTACTATTCATGATCCTTCCACTTCAGATACTTTATTGCGTACGTTCAATATTTTGAAGATTATATCATTTTGTTTTGATCTCCACGTGTAAAAAAATGAATGGAATGACAAACCTTAGTTTACACGTTCTTTGTTATTCAGTTATCGTATTTGAAAAAATGCAAGAATAAAATAAAATAACATAAAATGGAATCAGGTGTAAATTGGTAGCTGTCAATAATTGTATACCCATGTCACTAAGAAGAAGAATGTTCAACCAATGCATTCTAACAACTATGACATATGGATCAGAAACATGGTCATTGACAAAGGATCTAGAACAGAAAGCTTGTGACTACTCAACGAGCTATGGAGAGAAAGATGTCGCATTTATCTCTGCGAGACAAAATCAATCACAAAGTCATACGCCAGAAAATAAAGGTTAAAGACATTATGGAGAAAATCAGAGAATCAAAGTGGAGATGGACTGGGCATGTAGCAAGACTTCAGGCCAATATAGATGGACAAATCGTATAACAGAATGGCAACCAAGGGTGTGAAAGAGAAGAAGAGGAAGACAGAAGAGAAGGTGGAGAGAAGACCGAACATCATAAATGGGAACGGCCGCTTGGACTAGGACAGCTAGAGACAGAAGATAATGGAAATGTTATGAGGAGGGCTTTGTCCAACGTCTGGATGAACTATAGCCTGATAGATATTGCTTGGGTGATAGTAAATTGCAGGGATCGCATGAAGATCCGTATCAATACTTATGTGACTACCCTGGCTAACTAAAACCTTTGATATACCTCACTTAAGAAATCCAGCCATCTGATTGGTCGAAATTGCAGTCATGGTTTTAACTATTCCTGTAAAATTCCCGGTAAAATTCCAGTTACCGTAAATGCGATCTTTACATATGCGCACATGAACATTGGTTTCCTTTCCAGCTAGGTTGACCACCTCCCCCTGGCTCCCGGACTATAGGCACCGTGTTACACTTAAGACCATGTTACACTTTAAGACCTACACCTACCAACATACACCAGCCACCAGACCAGGCAACGAAACGCCAGAGCAGCGCAAACGCTACTTATTGGTCCCTCCCTGACAACCGGCATGGCAACCAGTCCTGTGGGCGGTATGAAACCGCGTGCCACGCCCACAAAGATGGTCGCCACGCACTACGTTTGAAAGAAGAAAAACTAACAAAAAGAACAAGTAATAGTACACTGGTTTCGTTAAATCGACAATGATATAATGCACACTGAGCATGGTATAGAAAACCAAAGTTGCATTAAAGTAGCAAATACAAATCAATCAAAACTCGTCCAGGCAGTTAAAGAAACAATCTGTATGATTTTTTAAGCAAAGGTCCTCATGTGCATAGTTATTCAAAGATTTTTTGAATAAAGAGAAGATGGAGAAAAGAGAAAATCGATGCATGCAGGCTGGAAAATGTTAAATATTCGAATACATGTGATGTACAATAATAAGAGTAATATACGTGAATGCATGGGTGTCGATCCCGGGGGGGGGGGATGGGGGGATATATCCCCCCCCCCAATATTTCAGGTGGGGGGGGGGTGGCCTGTACAATCATCCCCCCCCCCCCCAATAATTCACCATCACAAAAAAAAAAATAATGATGAGAGCCCGATGAGTGTTCATGTAATGGTTATTATACTCGTCTTTTGTCTTCTTTCTCTAATAATTCAATGAACCATCAAAGCTTGCGCGCTTCGCGCGGAGGAAGGGGAACTTGATTCAAACAAGGATTAATAGTCGAGAACGGTACAACGAATCGTCTCCTTTCTCTCATAATTTAATGAAACGTCAGAGCTTCCGCGCTTCGCGGGGGAGGGGGGGGACTGAATTCAGACAAGCATTAAGAGTCGAGAATGGTACAACGAATCGTCTTCTTTCTTTAATAATTTAATGAAACGTCAGAGCTTCCGCGCTACGCGCGGAGAAAGGGGAACTTGATTCAAACAAGGATTAATAGTCGTGAACGGTACAACGAATCGTCTTCTTTCTCTCATAATTTAATGAAACGTCAGAGCTTCCACGCTTCGCGCGGGAAGGAAAACTGAATTCAAACAAGGATTAAGAGTCGAGAATGGTACAACGAATCGTCTTCTTTTTTTAATAATTTAATGAATTGTCAGAGTTCACTAATAACCCAGGTAGCAAGCTCATGTGGGCCCCACATGGGTCCCATATTCTCTGAAATGTTATCTTTATTGAGGGTGACTTGAAAAAGTTAATAACTTGGAAGGGAGGGGTGCAACCTGCCACACGCTTCTACCTCTTGGTTGCTTTGATCCATTGCCGAAAATATTTTGGCCCCTTTGATCCCCCCCAACCACGGATACAAATCGACACCCCTGCGTGAATGCGTGTACTTTGGGAAACGAATAGGGTAAAACATCTGAGATTGGCCTTTATAATAACCACAGACGAAATCGTAATAACAAATGAATGGAATTTGAAAGTTAAATGGTACATTTATATCTTATATCAGCGTTTGCTCATTCGCATAGTTATTCAAAGTAACAACAAAAAATAACCCCCCCCCCCAAAAAAAAAAAAAATATCCCGCGTTACATTATTAACTCATCCGGGCACTATATGTCGGAGGCACAAAATTAACAATGGCCCAAAGCACAATTTAAGATTACATACCAATGAGGGCATTTACATCGCCATAATGATTATTCAAGTATTTTTGTGTCAGTATTGACAAATATGAAACCAGGCATGCACTGCAGGTCAGAAAATGTTAAAATATCGAGTATATGTAATGTACAATAATTAAACTACAATGAAGCAATCACTACCAATTTGTTTTGGTCAGTCTTATTTGCATAGTTATTCAAATCTACAACAAAAAATATCCCGCGTTACATGTTTGTCCTGACTTTCCCATTAACCCTAAGAGAGGCTGAGAGAGCAAACCATCTTGAATAAAAAAAACCTCACCAAAAGGTAATAATTATTTCAAATCATTAAATAAATTATAGTTCAAGGTTCATTTCAAGAACAGAATGTTGTGGTCTAAACACAATTTCTCTCTTTTACTTCGGACAAAAAATGTGACAATTAGAAACTGCTACATGTATTAGTTTGACATCGAGACGATCAGGTTAGTTTATATTGTGCCATTTCCATGTAATAGGGCATCGTCGCTTCAATACATTTGATCACATCGGAAGAAAGTTCTCTACCAGGCTGCTTCGGATTTACCCTTCTTTCAAAACAGGAGCTAAAGATGGACTTAGAGTGCGTCCGATAGATAAAATCATCAGGTCTGGCATTTGCTAAAGGTATAAAGCACCTCCACTTGGACACCACATCGGCGCGCGCATCCCAACTCAGAGACGCCGAGCCATTGAAGGGCATTTTAGTTGCATCGGTAAACTTCGATAGCATCGTCAGTGGATCGGATAAGATGTCGTCTGCGTCAATAACGATGGGGTTTGGATTGATATTTTCCTTAACGTATCTCCACAAATCATACTGGCATTTGTATGAATAGCCTGGCATCATGTAGGGGACGTCTGACGTCATATCAAATGTGGTTTCATCATCAAACGTGGGGGCTTGTCCGGCAGGGGGTTGATCACTGGTGAGTTGTGCGAGGATTAGTCGGCGCCACGCCGGAAACACTTTCTTCGGATTTCGAATGAGGAAGATGTGCTGGAACCCGGAGTCCTTTGTCGGTAGAAGATCCAGGAAATCTGTGACACCGTACGCCATGTCTTTAACGAAGACTGATTCACCTGCGGGTATGCTACTTAATTGTCTCCTAACACTATCACGCCTGAAATGTAGATACAATTAATGAATTACGTAATATGTTTTTTTTTTTTTTTAAGGAGAAATTCATATGAGTTTTTGTGTTACAGTAACTTTTATTCAGACTTTACCTTCTTAGCTAATTTTGACCCACATCATAATATCAACAAATTAAAGCATAATTGTATGGTTAGAATTTGTTAGTCCAAAACTTGCTATTATTAGCTAAGTCTTATAGGTAGGGGCATGCAGCATTCTTTAGCATGCGCATGTCCCTCGGTTTCAATCCATACATTTAGGTTAAAGGTAATACAAAATTTTGGGAAATTTTGAAAATTAGCTGGATCATAGTGATTCTTTACAATTTTTGATATATTTGGATGTTCATGTAGATGTATTATAAGCACTAGGAAATTTAGTCCCTAAAACACTTCTGCTTTCGAGAAAAATTGAATATAAAAAGTTACCGGTGCTCCCGGTAAATTCTGATGAATTTAAAAAAGCGCTTACGGCCGTACAGTGGTAGCTGCGACCATGAAAATCTCAGAATATGTACTTGTGATATATATTTTCCAAACGAGAATAGCCAATCGGGCGGTTTTAGTCAAGAAACATTGTTGTATGGCTTAATTAATATTTGACCTTGAGAGGGAGCTATATAACATAAAGAGCTTAATATTTACAATTTCATAACTTTAGACTCGATTTCAACCGCGACAACGATCACTGCACATTGTAGGATCGCACATGCTTCCAATATGTTCATTTGAGCCAAATTCATGATCCCTTAGCAAAAGATTGTATTACCTTTAACAATGTTTCGTTATCAATTTCATCTCTTCAGTATATCTATTTTATCTTTTATACGAACTTATTACAAAAATTATTACCCCCAAAACGCCATTAAAAATACCACCGCGGTTTTACCGCGTCGTTATTAACTGCACAAAGGCTAATTTGTTTCTTGCTTAAAGATAAACTTGAGTTCTGGTTTTAAAAAAAAGAGAATGAATTCTCACAGAATCAAACGAAACTTACACTGGATGTTCAAGATTACAAATAAATGTCATTTGCAAAACAAATTTTGGTAGAAAATGTATATTGGCTGAGTAATGAGCATAGAAAGATAAGGAAATCAAGGAAAGTAGCCCCGACACCATTTGTGTAGTCCCATTGTACATCTTTCTGTGTACAGTGCTTGTTACTTTACCAAGACTGGGCCAAATTTATCATGATTTTGATGACTCCAGAACCTTGCAATAAACACCAATACTTACATGCTACATGATCAACTTTTTCTGATCCATTTCACACCTTTTTTTTCACAATGCAATCGCATGACCAGAACTCAACTTTATCTTTAATTCGTCCTTCTTTCTTGTTACTCACAAAATAAGAGTTTCGTCTACACTTGGCAGATTGAAGAGGTGTTCAAGAGACGTCCCTTGAGCATGCAATCGTTTCTGTCTCATGAAGTCTTTCGAATCGAAATCATCGGCAGAATTTGGGAGATAACTTCCAGTTCTCTGTTTGAATTGAAAGTCTTGAAAGAAGGCCATGGTGTACGGCTCAAACCAGACCTGAAACAAATTACAGAGAGAAATGAAAGATAATATGAAGGTTTTCTTAACGTTGATGAGCTTTGTAGTATGTATTAGAAATTGTAATATCAATAGAAATGTATATTTGAAGAAATGGCTTGGACACATAATGCGGCATGATGAGGGCTTGATGCTCAGAGTCATAGAAGGTCGTATTCATGGAAAGAAGAAGAGGGGAAGACCTCGTAAAGGCTTTCTAGACGATGTAATCACACAATGTGGAGCAACAGGGTATGAAACGATGAAACGGTTGGCTCAAGACCGAGGAACTTGGAGAGAAACTTGATATGGAATTTTTAATGGGTCACTGAACCTGTCATGAACTGACAGATCACTTTTGATGATTTGAATATGCTACAAGCCCACATTAATTGTATGTTCTAGTGCAATAGTTTATATACAATGAAACCTTCTCTGTATAATTAAGTGAAATTGTGATAATTGGTATACTTTATATTATGACAATGAGTAATGACAATATTCTTACAATGTGAATGGCCCATCTTGTGCTGAGTAGGACACTGGAAAAATAAATGTTGTTAATGCATGATTTATGTTTGTTCATTCTTGATATCATTGGTCGAGTTTACATTGATAATAAATTCCTCCGAAAAGGAACATCTCAAAAGATATTTAGATTGTACCAATCACAAAAACATGATTTGTTCTTGATGGAAGGGCTCCATGTTTCTATATACTGTAGTCAAACTATGAGCTTCACTGGCGTACCTATGGGGGGGGGCAGGGGGGCAGAGTGCCCCCCTGACGGGCTCCAGGAGAAAAAAGAAAAAGGGGAAAGAAAAGAAAAGAAAGGAAAAGGAAAGAAAAAGAAAAAAGGAAAAGGGAAGAAAAAAGGAAAGAAAGAGAAAAAAGGAAAAAAAGGAAAGAAAAAAGGAAGAAGAGAAAAGGAAGAAAAAGGGAAGAGAAAAGGAAAGGAATAAAAATGGGGAATTAAAAAAAAAGACCATGGCCGTACGCACCAGGGGGGGGGGGCAGTTGACCCCAGATATATTGAAATCATACAGTTTTTTTCCTGAAAATGTAGTGTAGGTCTATACCAAATCCTTCAATTCTACTTTTGAAAATGCAAAAGTACCCTCATGACCAGTTCGGTCGCTCGAACTCCCTTCACTCCTTTTGCTTTTGAAATTCTTCGAAAACTTTTAACGCATCTTTCCCCCTCCCCCACCAGAAAATTATTCCGCATACGGCCCTGAAAAATGAAAACAAATGAAAATAGGAAAATATAAGTGATATAACAAATTTGAAACTCTTCGCTGGCGCGAACTGCTTGCTAGCCTATTTTGTATTAAATGTTTTCACTTGCTCGTCCCCCTGAAAAAAGAAAAGGATTAGTATTGCCTGGAATACAATTGTGCCTGCCCCGACGGGCCCCGACCTGCAACCATGGCAACAATAACACACAATTATGTACCAAATGTTACTAAAAGAGACTAATTCATTTTTCTCGCTCGCTACACACGCTCGCGAATAAAAGGAATTGAATCGCGTTAAACGCGATTGCGTCCATCCTGACCTGCACCAATAAAAACAAGTTTATTTATTAATTTCTATTAAAAGAGAATTTTTTTTTTTGCTTGCTCGCTATGCTCGCTCGCCAAAATGGAATTGACACCGCTAACGTGCCCGCCCCAACCTGCAATAACCAGTTAATAATTATGTACCAAACGTTATTCAAAGAAGTTTTGGTGTGCTCGCGTGCTCGCCAAAATGGAATTAACATCACCTTAGACATGATTGTGTAAGCCCTGCCCTGCAACAAAAAAATCTGAAATTTATGAACCAATTATCATTACAAAAATTTTGCTCGCTCGCTACGCTCGCTCGCCAAAATAGAAATAACACCGCTTTTAATAATCACGTCCCTGACATGGAACAATGAACCCAAGTTTATATACCATATTTTCCCCATAAAAGAGAAGTGATTTTTTTTGCTCGCTCGCTACGCTCGCTCGCCAAAATAGAAATAACACCGCTTTTAATTATCACGTCCCTGACATGGAACAATGAACCCAAGATTTATGTACCATATTTTCCCTATAAAAGAGAGGTGATTTTTTTTTTGCTCGCTCGCTACGCTCGCTCGCCAAAATAGAAATAACACCGCTTTTAATAATCACGTCCCTGACATGGAACAATGAACCCAATTTTTATGTACCATATTTTCCCTATAAAAGAAAAGTTTTTTTTTTTTCACTCGCTACGCTCGCTAGCTCGTGGAATGATGTGCCCACCACTAATAACCTGCTACAATATCATTAAAAAGAGAAATGTAGGGGGTTGCCTGCCCGCCAAAATGGGATTGACATTACCTTAAACACGATTGTGCCCGCCCCCTACCTGCAACAATGAAACAAATTTTATTTAGCAATTCATTGAGAGAAAGATGTATTTTCGCTCGCTAGCTAAAATGGGTATAACTTCACCCTAAACATAATTGTTCCCGCGCCCGGCATGGGACAATTGAACCAAGTTTAAGTGGCAATTATTAAAAAAGAAGTGATTTTTTTTCTTGCTCGCTACACTCGTTTGCAAAAAAATGAAATTAACGTCGCTAACAAGTGAATGTTCCCAGCCCCAACTTGCAACAATACCAGTTTATATACCAAACGTTACTTAAAGATTTTTTTTTGCTCGCTCGCTCGCCAGAAGTGAAAATTAGCATCGCCTTTTTTGTTTGTTTCGGTCGCTTGCCCCCCCTGACGGAGTACCCCAGGTACGGCACTGATGAGCTTCACATATTTCTTCAACAAAGAGATGTTGCAGTTTAAAGGTAAAGACCAGTTTTGGAAACGGTCCAATTTCAAAAAATTAAATGGAAGCTCTTATTACCAATCATGTGAAAGAATATGTTTGACTAATACATGATGATACAAATTTTGCCGGGAAACCGCCTACTAATTGATATATTTGGTAAATAATTAGTTTATCTATTGGGATGTGAGAGATAAACGCACGTGTCGCGCACGTGTGCGTAGTCCCATATACATCTTTATGTGTACAGTGCTTGTAACTTTACGAAGACTGGGCCAAATTTCTTATCATTTTGATGATTCCAGAACCTTGCAGTACACACCAATACTTATATGCTAGATGATCAACCTTTTCTGATCGATTCCACAACGTTTCTTTCACAATGCAATCGCATGACCATAACTGGTCTTTATCTTTAAATACACTCCCAGTGAACTGTTACATAATGCAATAATGCATCATATAATATTTGAGTCTCTAAAAATTCAAATGTAACTGAAAAGGGTTATAATGTGATGAAGATGATATTTGTTTGTTTGAAGAATCATCGAACCTGTGTATTTTCGATGAAACTAAAACATTTGGTGAGTACAGACGAAGCTGATCGGGGCACACACCACATGATGACCCGGAAGGGCTTTGTATCCGCCATATCCTGTATAGAAAAAAAATACAAATAATGTCTATAAGAATCAACTCGAGTTCTATCACAACTGAGAACTAAACTCAGATCCGGGATTTTTTCAACATGTCCATATTTGACCAGAATCACATGTTTTAAAGTATATAAAAATGTACTAAAGTTTAGCACATAATTTATTAATTTTTTTAAAGGTGGGGGATATTCTCTGTATATGTGCATAGTGATAAAACTCGAGTCGATTTATGGATAAGACAATGAGAGAGAGAGAGAGAGAGAGAGAGAGAGAGAGAGCGAGAGAGAGATAAAGGCAGGAAGGGCGGAATAGAGAGAGAGAGAGAGAGAGAGAGAGCGCGAGAGAGATAAAAAGAAAGAAAAAAAGGAAAAGTTGATAAATTAAGATTAATTTGGTAAATATGACGTTACGTACGGTTCTGTGATATACAGTGCGTCCCAGAAAAAACGAAACCGAGAATTATTGATGTTTTATCATAAATGATAAGAAATTTGGCCAAATCTTGGCAAAGTTACAAGCACTGTACACAGAAGGATTTTGTACAGCATCTTGTCCTTGTATTGGGAGTTGAGTGCCCATGTACCAGATGCGTCAGCCTTCCCTATTTGACGACTCCTGAGCTCTCCGAAATCTTGACTTCCCTATTTACACGGAACTTTTATTTACGTCCAATCAAATTTAGGTTTAGAAAAGTACTCACCTGCATCGTCCAAAGATTATGATCAGGACAATGAAGGTATATATAAGTTAACTGTTCTCGCTGGTATATACAGCTCTGTCTTCTGGTTCAGAAAATAACAGTAGGCCTATACCTATGATGCCGGAAGTATTTGGAACGTGTTCGATGGCGAATTGCAAGTATGCATTCACGGATGTTTACCTCTCAAACGAGCATACACGAATGAAAATTTGTCCATACATTGTTATGTGGGGTAAAACCTCGATCAAGCTCCCTCCGTCTTGTCGAAAGAAAGCTTAACCATCAATAGAGGGGTATAGCAGGCCTATACAACCGTAAAAATGTTTCTGTGGCGCAATATGTGTCCAAAACCTCTAGCAAATTGTTACATAATGTATGGATGGTATTCTAGCACATGATAATAGGGACTTTTCGATTTGCACAACGACAACGTGAATTGCTACGATCGACGTCCTTTTAATGCACTGCCTTGAATGGACGTCACACGGATCAGTCCACGCAAATCTAAAAGTCCCTAATCATGCAGATTTGGTTCCTGAAGCGGGGAGGGGGGGGGGGCAATTATCGAACGCATACGACACATCACTTGTCAATTATTTTGAGCAACTGGCGTGGAATAAGGCACCCCTTGTATAACACTAACACTATATGATTCCACTGCAAGTTGATATACCCGTTCTTTTTCTGTCATAAAAAGCTAGTTTACAAAGAGAGAGATAAGATATTGACGTGGTATCATTATTGCTGCTATTTATATACTACAACTCTAGGTCGTATAATAATGATCAAGGTCCAATTGTGACGTAACGTGGGGTAAAACAACACGAAGAGGGAATCGGCCGGGTCGAGGGAGAGGGGGGGGGGGGGGGGGTGGCAGTTTATTAACAAGTTTGTTTGACGCGGTATTTTCCATTCCCCCTCCCCTATTTTTCTTATCTACAGAATGCCTACCTCAAAATGTTACAGTGGATTGTGAGATATAAACGAGTTTATTAAGTATGACTGCATGGGTTTGCGTGTTTTTAGTGCTGAAAACCTAATTCTGTATATCGTTGGCCTAAAATGTGTTATCATGCATACCTTTTTCATTTCCTCCATTCATCATACTTTAAACAAATATTTAGAGTCTGCATTATCACTAGGGGAAAAAAAATCTGTTCAGCTTGTTTACCATTGTAAAGAAATGCTTGAAATATAATGAGTAGGCACAGAAGATTCTCACTCAGTAAAAAAAAAAAAAAAATCATTGAATCATCCCGTCATTCCTCAATCGTCCAAGCAACACATTAATGTAGTTTGAGTTTGAGTTTGAGTTTGAAATTTGAGTTTGAGTTTGAGTTTGAGTTCGAGTTTGTATCTCCCAGAAATCAGTCAATCAGGCGTTACCAAACCAATCTACTACCTGCCCATCAATCAGTAAATGAGCCAACAAATCGATGAATAGTAATGTAGTCCATGTAGTCGTGTATTCAATCAAAATTAATAAGAATTCAATCAATCAATCAGTCAATCAATCAATCAATCAGTCAATCAATCAATCAATCAACCAGTCATTCAACCAAGCAATCAATCAATCAGTCAATCAATCAATCAGTCAATCAATCAATCAATCATTCACTCAACCAATCAATCAATCAACCAATCAGTCAATCGTTCAATCAATTAATCAATCAGTCAACCAACCAATCAAATCATATATTCAGTCTGTTTAGTGTGTTGACGTTTTTATCCCACAGGTCAGTCTTCCTCCATCCATTGATTAATTAATCAATCATCATCTAAGTTACCATTTCGCCTATAAAGTTGGAATAAATTTCTCTTATATTTTTTATGAAGTGATTGTGAGAACATGATTTATGATTTTATGATGTGAGAATATTTATACGATGTTCTCAGAACTTTATCGATAAATCTGAAAAGACATAGAAATTGGTCATTGAATTTATATGAAGAGAGAAACTCTGAATAAATCATGTTGTCACGATCATTTCATGAAAACAAGTAAGAACAAATTATTTCAACTTTATGAGTATTGGGCAACAGTGTACTCTAGTGATACACCAGGAAAACAACAAAGCTAAAAATGTCATGCTCATTTACCCATCAATCAACAAATAGAAATAAAAAACTCAACCTTGGTTAATTTTAATTTTAATACAAACTGTGTACAAAACGAGGAAATATTAAGCTTATGTTAGCAACGATTTCAAGAATCAATACTTCCTACTTACGATGTTAGTCGATTTTGTTGTTTAAAATATGTCGGCATTCCATAGGAATCACTACATAAAACATTATAATGTTAAAAGAGATTGATAGTCAATAAATCAATTTACTCGTTCAATCAGGCTTTGAAAAAAAAGCCATTTGTCTTTTTATCATACCCCCATCACTCAGATCCACTAAACACCGATTAAACAGTCAGCAGTTTCAATCTCGTTATTTTTCATTCACGAAATGTATACCGATACTTTTTTAAAACATTTTTCATAACAGAACATTGTAACGAGTTGTTCGAAATAAAGTTATGACATCATTAAAGAAGGATAAAGTGATATGACATAGGCAAGGATTTATGTTTAAATTCAAAGTTCAAATCTTTACTACAATTTCTAGTCAATTTATCTATCGTGCAAATGTTTAACCGAGACTTCTATCCTCGTAAAAATTATTTTAACGAAAAATTCAGGGACAAAAAGTAAACAAAGGCCAGTGAAGGTTTCCGCAGTGCGATGCCTTTTGCCTTTGCATATTTAGCATCCTCTCCGAGGGGTTGTGTCCATCTTGTAGCAAGTTAAGAGATGTTCTGCTCGCAGCTGTTGAGTATTCCGTTGACTACTGAATTGTATAGGTCCCATAGGCTTAACACAGGGGCCACCAGGTTCCCGTAAGCAAAGGGTTAAAACAAATTGTGGATTATAAATCTAGGGATTTTCTGCTCGCAACTGTTCACACGTTTTACAACAAATCTGTACGTAGCCCGGCATGCCACAGAACATCTCAAACTTGGATAAGTCACATAGGACGCTGTCAGCTAATTCACAAGCAGTCACTGTCAGTGAAAATACAAGGACAGGGGAGAGAGGGGGAGGGGAAAGGGAAAATAGAGAAGGGAGGGAGGGAGGGAGGGAGAGAGAGAGAGGGAGGGAGGGAGGGAGAGAGAGGGAGAGAGAGAGAGAGAGAGAGAGAGAGGGATATATGGAGATGGGGGGAGGAATAAAGATAGAGAGAGAGAGAGAGAGAGAGAATAAGAGGGAGGGAAATATATAGAGATAAGGGAGGGAGAAAGAGAGAGAGAGAGAGACAGAAAGAGCAGACGGCAGGAGCGTTGAAAATAGGAAAAGAAGGAAAACGAGACAAACAAAATTGAAAGAAGAGAAGAGTAGAGAGATGGAATGGTATTATAAAGAAAGAATAAGGAGATAATGAAATGAGAGGTAGGGGGTGGGGGGGGGGGGGTGGGCAAAGAAAAGAAAGAAGAGGTCATTATTACATTTTTCTCATTATTACACTTGAATTACAGATTGAATATTTTGATATGCATCATAATAGAGATTTCTATCCTTGGTTTCTTTATCACAAATGAGATGATTACATGTGTATGACTATTACAACTCTCGGGTAAACAGTAAGAAAGAAATCATCGTGGTGAAACAGTGAGAATAATTCTGAAAATATGGTCACTAGTATAAACATCGCAAAAATAAATAATTTCTTTTTGTTCTTCTTCTTACGTATGATGTTTGGCAGCTAGAGTGACAGATCAGGGTTAGAGAGTCACGCAAGGGAAACATTATTTTGATACAAGATGAAATTCACCTTTCGTACTGATCTGCTAATGTTAAAGAGGTTCCCATGAAAACAAAGATTAATTTTGTCAACGAGAGTGACCCCCTCCCCCCCCCCAAAAAAAAAAAAAAAATATATATATATATCCGACGTTAGTGAAAATTTCGGCAAACGTTATTGAATTCGGGTTATTTATTATAATTACGTAATATTTGTTACCTTCACAAGCCTCAAGTTCACATTTTTTGGCACTGGGTGGCTCCATACCGGCACATAGATAGTCATCCTCTAGCGCCCCCATCGGTACCTCACACTCGACTGCTCGTGTCTTCACACCGGGTCCGCAAGTCGCAGAGCACTGAATAAGAGATAAGTAGGAGAAAAACATTATCAAGGAAAATATTTGTCAAATAAATGAAATAATAATGTAATGCCCCTCCCGCCCCCCCCCCCAAACAAAAAAAAGAAGAAAAGAAACAACAACCAAAGACGAACACCATAATACACCAGCTCGTAACCTTTGTCCAACGACTGACAAATATAATCTAATTATTCTCAAACCTAGATACTCATCTACCGAAAAAACGTTTTACAGTGGCTGCCTCGAAAACGTAGAACAATATCCCATTTTCCAATTTTCCAAAATTGTGATACATTACATTATAATGACTGATTGTCTTTCGATTTTATGTAACAGGGACAAGATCAGATTAAAGAGAAGGTTGAGATCTGGAAAAAGTATCCTATGAAACGGATGAAATTGAGGTGACAAGTAATAGCTATAGGTTGTGGACCACGTTTTCATGCCGCATGCTTGTGTAGTCCCATAAACACATTTCTGTGCCATATGCAGGTGACTTTTAGCAAGGCTTTGCAAATCTTATCATTATGATGATTCATAAAACGTCACAATATACACCAATACTTATCAGCTGAATCACTTCCACGCTGTCTTTTTACAATGCAATCCCATGACCAAAGCTCGATCTTATCTTTAAGTTATTAAAATCATAGTTTTTAGTAAAATCACAAACCTCAGACCATGTCTCTTTCACCCATCTGCTTGCACACGGCTCTAGACCACACGGTTCGACATCAAGAGGACGATTGGCCATCCCACATGCTTCCTCGTCATTAAGTGTCTGTTCGTCGTTCATAACCTTTAAAAATAGTATTTACACACATTGGTATTGGTTTGTTGGTTTGTTTTACCTTACTACTGGGAAAGAATGTGTATGCTTGTTGGTAAGTAGCCAGAAGATCGAGGGCTTTAAAATCCTCCACGAGGAACTTGGTAATGAGGATGGTAATGCCTTACCAAAGGGCTTTAGCACATCGTCTTGGTTTCGAACCCATAACCTCCCGGTTACGAGTACACTGCGCTTCCACTGGGCCCTCGCGCCACCGTAAAGAAATTGTAAATAAGCGTCACATGTTTTAGAAAGTTGCTCTCATCAATTTACTGTCAAAGAGACGGATATCACCTTTTATGATAACAGTTTAACATTGAAAACATTTGATTCTTGTAACACTTGAGACATAAACATTCAAGACCCCTTCTTTCCCATATTATGAGTGAGTTATATCCATAACAGAAAGGGCAGACATAACAATAACAATAATGATAATAATAAGTTTGTTTACCAAGGGAAACCTATTCATCAGCATCAACTCTGTACTTCCTGAGGGCCTCGCAATTATTAGTACATTTACACCTGGGTGAAGAGTAGCAAATGTGGAATAATGTATTTTCAAAGGACATTGGTGCCGGGCAGGGATTCGGTTCCCTCAACCCGTGTATTGAGAGTGAAGTGAATAAACCACTACACCACGACACTCTCACGACACCCCCACGAACCCTCCCCCGATTGGGATCCCGGTGACAAAAGCAATTTAAGTTCGGCTAACCTGGAAGCATTGAACGTCTCTTGTCTTATACGCGCTACCTCCACACGTTGCACTGCATTCACTCCATGCCGTCACCTGCCACTCGTAACTATGTGGACAAAAAAGTTTACATTTCCATTTTCTTTAACAATAACAATAAGTGATGTTATTTTCAGATCACTTCATGTTTATTTACAAATGTATTAAAAGATTATAGGCCATAAAACTTGTTTCATTCGACTTTAATAGCACAACTAAAATTACTCACTAAATATCAGTGAGTATCGTTGATCACAATACCACGGTTTTTCTCTTTAGAGATATATTGCATGTTATTAACCGGACACCTACCCCCTGGACGTCCACCCCCAGATAACCACCCCCAGTCAACTACCCCATAGGACAACTGACCCCTAGGACAACCACCCCTACAACAACACCCTCTATGACGACTACCCCCGGGACAACTATCCCCGGACAACTACCCCCAGACAACTACCCCCGGACAACTACCCCCTAGGATAGCTGTCCGGGGGGGGGGGGAGTTGTCCCAGAGGATGGTTGTCGTAGGGGGTAGTTGTCCTGTCCGGGTGGTAGTTGTCTGGGGAGGGTAGTTGTCCGGGGGTAGTTGTCCTAGGGTGTAGTTATCCGGGGGTATTTGTCCCAGGAGGCAGTCGTCCTAGAGGGTGGTCGCCCTAGGGGGTAGTTGTCCTAGGGGTAGTTGACTGGGAGTGGTTATCCGGGTGGATGTCAAGGGGGTAGGTGTCCATATGGAAACGTTTGCAGGTATTTGTCCCATAAAAGAAGTTGACAACAAACTGACTCCCACACGGTGTTGGGTGCTCAGGGGTCACAGGCCACTGGCTTCATCGGGCAGGTAGTTCCATTATGTGAATGGGTAAATTAACTATTACAAAATGAGGGGACACATTACATTGTACAATAGGGATACACATTGTATTTATTGTGCAGAACATACTCTTTTATTGACTTACTTATTGCATGAAACTATAAAACCAAAATGCATTTTGTATTCTAACAATTGGAGTGCAAAGAATAATAACAGGTGAATGAAATGCATAAACATCACAAACACCTGGGGAGGAAGCATTTATAAATTTGAATAAATTATAGTTGATAAACGACTCCGATAAAACTATAAAACCAAAATGAAATTTGCGTTCTGGCAATTGGAGTACAAAGAATGATAACAGGTGAATGAAATGCTTCAACAGCAACACAAACACCTGGGAAGCTAGGAAGCATCCATAAATTTGAATAATTTAGTTGATAAACGACTCCGCATGTGGACGTTTGTCGGAGCAGAAAGCAGTGGATTCTTAACAACACGAACCCATTTAAGAGAATGTCGGAACGTCAATTAAATTTGGCGCGGTTGGAAAATGCATATTTCTACCCTGCGACTTTAATGGTACGATCCCGTAAATTAAAACAGTAAAATGGCTCTTATTTTAAAATTACTCATTAAATAAAACCCAAAACTTCAGTGATATCAGAAAAAATATGTTATATCTCACGAACAATTAAAAAAGATGAATAAACATTGTGAAAGTGTCGCATTTTACGATAAAAGACACCGATTTAGGGAAGATGACGTCATTAGTGCGCTTGCATCAGGGAATTCAAGGTCAAAAGGTCAATTCAGACGCTAATAAGTTATTGGTCGAGCCTTTTTGTTTCCTTTATTCCGACAAAATAATACAATCAATCAAAACAAGTTTAATACCAGAAGAAAGCTAACGATTAGTATTTTCATTAACCGCTTGCCCCAAAGTCGCTTGACAACAATAAAACGAGTGAGAGCTTGCGAGAGCGGTCAAAGTGTGATTGAAACTCGCTATTTGCTCTTCTCTAACGCAAAAAGAGACGACATTGTGCTGGATAAATGTATTTTTTCCGACAAAAGTACAGAACATTTGCATATGGTCTTTTTATATTATACTTTATGAAATGTTACCCGAGTGACTTCCGGGCGCCCCAATGCTGGAAAGAAACGCACATTTTAGAAAACTTCACTTTTTCATGGAAAAATGCTTATTTGTTCTATGCACGTAAGTCAGATTGAGCGGATGATACAACGTTTCCATATGTAGAACGGTTATTAGCACATTATTGATTACAGTATATTGATCCCATACACGCCTGTTTTCGAATGGTAAATATTTGTTCATCATCATGATCATGTGATAGAAGAAAATAACCGAGTACATTGCAAACTCAGTGTGCGGCGCCGCGGAAGTACGATGCAAGCTCGTAGTTGGTCAATACGGGGTAACACGTGACATGTAATCGCCTGAGATACGGTGTGATAACCGCATAGTTCGTGGTGATTGGTTGTTTGGAGTAACTCACGTGACAATGACTGCTTCTGTTGGGCATGGTTCCTCATTACATCTCACTCTCTCGGCTTTCGGATCATAGCTCCTTTGACCGCATAACTTGTATTTCACCTTCCGGCTATCTCTTAGTCTGGTGCATTGAAATCGATGGAAAGAGTATCCTAAAAGGTTAAGAAAATAATTTGTTTATTGATGGAATTACAGACAATTAATAAGCGATGGTATGGGTATACTAATGATAAAAAGAACATTCGCGTACAAGGGACTCGCTGTGACAGCAGATAACCGAGTGAGGTGGTAGGGAAAGTATGCAAAAAGCATATCTCATTAAATAATGATAATAATAATGATAACACTCTGATCATTTTAGAGCTGTTAAACAGTACCAGGCAAAAAAGATGATATAATTTATTATAAGATGATGACGTGGATCCTAATCAAAGGATTGGTTGAAAGCGTACACGTGACCATGCATTTATTTGGCCTAACGCGTAATCGCGCGTAATTTGGGTAATGACCGGTCATTATCCAATGGTAATGACCAGTCATTATCAAAATCATGTTAGAAAACATCATTTCATAAATCAAATAAACCAAATTGTATAAAACATATAATACACATCATTTTGTTAGGACATTAGTAAAATTACCCACACTTGGTACCTTCAAAACAGTCCAAACGTCAGACTGTTCCAAAGGTACCTCGTGTGGGTAATTCTTACTAATGCCCTTACTGATGTGTATTATTTGTATATCAACGTCAGCACAACAGTTAATTTCAACATTAATCATTTTGTAAAATACTTTAAAATAACGAGTTACATAATATCATATAAATAATAACCTATTTTTCCATCTATCTAACTATCTTACTTTTATTTATTATAAATCTAACTTCCCCTTTCCTATTCTATCTCTCTCTTCCACTTTTAGCCGAAACATTTGATGTGTTTCAATTAATTTGGGGTCTCAGTCTAAAGTATCTGTATTCTCTTTAAAAAAAAATGTTAAGTCAGTATTTTAATTCAGTGAACCTACATGCAACAAGCCCAGCTTTTAAGTTGGTTCGCTTACCATTTCCGTGTTTAATGATTTACTATAAAACATTCTTCCATGTCATTAGTTACTATATGATTAGGGATTCTTTCTTTCCATACAAATTAAAAATTTATGTTAATGTACTGCATGATGCATTATGCTTCGTTAATTTTGCTTAGAAATGGATTAAAGGCAATGATTAATCGATCAATTAACCAATCAATCAATCAACCAAGCAATCAGTCAATCAAACAATCAAAACCAATAAATCAAATCATCAATTAAAGACCGTCAACACTACTGGGCTAGAAGGGATTAGACCCCCAACCAGGTCACTGACAGGTGGCTATCTCATCAACTCAGCTCTCAACTAACATAAAAAAGAGGATCATGGGGGACCAACAGGCACCGATTGGGGAAGTTTTCTATATAGAGGGAGCAAGTAGCTACAAGTAGGACAGTGGGGCTTTAACCAATCAAGCAAGCAATGAAACAATAAAACAATAAATCAACCAATGAATAAGACATTAATTTGTACTAATAAATCACCTCCTCCGCAATCCCTCGTACAATCTGTCCATCCTTGATCTTCCCATAAGTATTCAGTCGATGGGGGTGGTGGAGATTCTTCCTCTACCACCACCTCCTCATCCTCCACCTGTCCCTCTGCATCCGGCCCCTCCCCCTCGAGAACGTCAGGCAGTCCATCTCCAAAGTCTTCGTACAACTCGATCTGGTAACTCATCGCTCGAGAATCGCCCGATGCGAAGGCCTTTAGGATGTCAATCATTGTTCATCATTTTTGTTAATCATTCCAAAATTAAAATAGATTTGAACTGAATTAATTTCAATTCAAATGTTATTTATCAGAAAATACACATAGGAGCACAAGGACTGAATCACATAGAGTTTACACAATTACGATTCAATTAAATTATGTATTAAATCAAACTGAAAAAACCCACATGACAGCCCAAGGATTAAATTGCAGGGAGTTTACAAAGAAAAATTACCAAAATAAAATATCTTACAAATCTATACATACATGTACGTCATAGTTCTACAACAATATGAAAGAAAGAAACATAGAGAGAGAGAGAGAGAGAGAGAGAGAAGGACAGAGAGAGAGAGAGAGAGGGGGGGGAGAAAGAGGGGGACGAGACAGAAAAAAGAGGAAAAAGAACAGCAAGATAAAGGCAAAGGTATGGCTGTCTAGAGGGAAAAGAAAATGATAATTACATAATAAGTGAACATGAAATTGCTGAAGGGCGAAAGTGAATTTTATACAGCTTCATTGTTTATCATAATTGTTTCACTTGTGGCCGATACAAATTTAACAACAACGAACACAACAAAAAAAAGAAAAAAAAAAAGACAGTGTTTCTCAAATTGACTTTATATCAAATGGATGAGTTTAGCTGACATAGAAAAGATTAGCTTAGATAAAGTGCGAAATATATGAGATTCTTGGCTGCATCCCCTTATCGAAATAATTTGGAAGAGATGACAATTTAATTTGATTTCCATAAAACCAAGTGTGTCCGGTTAACTTTTTAAAGTTATATTACAATTAAGATCTTCGATACAATATGTGTTAGATTACATATAAAATAGGGTTCTAGGACACCCAACCCTTTGACATCCACCCCCGGATAATCAGCCCCAGTCAACTACCCCTAGGATAACCACCCCCTAGAGCAACCACCCTCTAGGACAACTACCCCTGGGACAACTACCCCCAGACAACTACCCCCGGACAACTACCCCCCAGACAACAACCCCCGGACAACTAACTCCCGGACAAAGGGGTGTCCTAGGGGGGTGATTGTCCGGGGGTAGTTGTCCTAGGGGGTAGTTGTCCTAGGGGTAGTTATCTGGGGGCAGTTGTCTGGGGGTAGTTGTCCAGGGGGTGGACGTACAGAGGGTGGTTGCCCTAGGGGGTAGTTGTCCTAGGGGTGGTTGTCCTAGGGGGTAGTTGACTGGGGTGGTTATCCGGGAGGCGGATGTCCAGGGGGGAGGTGTCCGGATACGATAAAATAGAAATGCGATTCTATAATCACTATCGTGAATTTGTTCTCAATTGTATCCTTTTTTTTAATTTTTTTTAAAGCATACGTATTTTGCACCAATGTTCACAATTTATTTTGTAATTCGATTAATGATTTGAAAATATCATTATATTAACGTGCATTGCTTTGTTCGATTGATTTTGTCTGGGGTCATAATTGTTTATATTGATTGTTCTGTTGGAAATGAAATGAAAACTGAGCGGAAGTGAAATCCCCAAAATTAAAGGGGCATGTCCCTGTATTCCGGAGGGCGCTCAAAATACGTACGCGCTAAAGCTGCCTATTGACACAAACAGAATACGGCTCTTACGCAGATGGCATGTTCCGATAATTACACTGGGGGGGGGGGGGGGGGGAACGTGCCCCTTTAATCTTATCTTCTAGCACTAACCATGAGATGAATTACAGTTGGAACGGGTCCTTTCATTAGTAACGTCTCTGCTTCCTCATTCACTGTATACACAAACCGAACACCAGATTCGATGAAGGCATGAGGTGGAGACTGCTGTTTACCACGGTTCAAGATGTACTTCCCATTCTCCTCGATCCTCAATGCTAAAAAGAAAGGACATACACCATTCAAGAGCACGAATCTTTGACAACATAGTTCAAATAATGACATTTTGTTGAAATTCAATCGGGTATTTCAGACTCCAAAATTGTAAAAATGAATCGAACGTTATCCAACTCTTGGGTGTCACGTAACTTTCAAAACAACCCAACGTAGGGAATATCGAAGATTCATGTAAAATGATGTATATTTTGAGGGAGATGTATTTGCTCATATTTTGAACTTAAGATCAACATAAAATCGCAAATAGTCACCATATATGCACAATTACGATAACCAAGTCAATTCGTCAAATTGTCTCAATCAAAATAAGCTCGTAATAAATGCCTATGGTTTAATTAGAGGTCTTGAAGACTGCAGTAAACTATATATGTCTTTATATCGGATTGGATCAGACTCGAGAGGGAAAAAAAACAAAACAAAACTTACCAAGAAAGTGTGTAGACGCTGCTGTTTTTGTGACTTTCATGTCCCACATTCCTGGGGTAAGCGTCAATAACTTTTGGTATTCTGTAAAAAGCAACAGCAAAAAATAAAATATGAAATATAAAGAGAGAACGAATGATAAGTGCGTAGTATTCAAATTTAATTTTCCGATCGCGAATGTCATTTTGAAGAACGTCGGTCGGCTTTTGTGATTCGAAGTAATTTTATCCACCTTACTTTTTGATTTTGGCGACTCGTCAATGACATCTGTGACGACTTGCACGCATGTTTCGTTTCGTCCATCACAAACTCCGCATTTGTCCCAGAATTTTGTCGAACCCATTTCAACGTCGCATCCGATGCTCTGAAAATGAAAATAGATGTTTAAACACATCAACCATTATCCAAATTCTTTCTGCACTGCAACAACTTTAACCCACTGTAGAATATTCACTCTGTCACTGAACATAGAATGTCATTCAGCGATCTGTTGTGGGTAGACTTCTTTTGAAAAAGAGTCGAACTAAACGGAATTTATACCTTTTATTTGGTAACGAAGACGACGGCGATGATGATGATAGCGACAATGTTGATGACGAGGAGGAGATTTTGTTTATAATTATGCATTCAACATGTCCAAAGGCGCATGGTTCAAACAATCAATCCTAGCTCTCTGACAAAGTTCCAATAATTATCAGCGAGTCGTTAGTACGCACTATCAAACAAATAAGAGGTCTAATATTATTTGTAACGGAAGATTACATTTTCGTTACATTTTGTAAAGCCTTAAAAATATGTACACAAAAGAATTCAAGTAAATTCATCCAAGCTCTTTGCTATTATAATAGGCGTTTACCTAATCTTGTGAAAATTGCCGCAAATGTAAACGCTTGTCTTCTATTCTAGATGAATAATAAAATAAATAAAATCACTGAAAATGGTTCAAATGATAACTTACTTTAGGTTGTCCATCGATACATATTATTTCAGGATAAGTATAGGAAACGGGGGTACCGTCCGTCACGAATCTGTTCGAAACGTAGATTTCACCCGTATTCTCTGCCACACAGGATAACTTACATGTCATACTAGCTAAAAGGAGGGAAAATAAATATAAAAAAATGAAGAATAATATAGAATTCATGGTAATTTATTTATTTAGAGGTGTTAAGGTCTAGCGGATGAATCTCCGGACCACGAACCACAAGGTGCGAGGTTCGAATCCTTAATATCCTAATGTCCTTTAGAAAGACACCAATCTACATTTGCCACACTTTATCCAGGAGTACGAGGTTGGTACCTAGGCCCCCCTTTCACAAAAACTTGTCACCAGTGACAAATGACAGTTTGGGTTATAAGCTACTGAAATCCTTGCTGCTGATTGGCTATCAGCATATTTGTCACTGATATTTGTCATTTGTCATTGAGAGAAGGCTTTGTGAAACACCCCCTTGTAAGATTCATTCCTTGAATGCATTGAGAGCTACGGTTGCCCGAGCTTAAGTCGGAGTAATTATATATCTAAAATTTCCATTGGAAGCGTATATGGGACGTAATATATATCCGGGTTTTTTCCGTATAACCATACATCCATACATACATATACACATTATATGAACATACAGAATAATGATAATTACTTAAAGAGAATAAACATCGATCGCTCTATTCAGAGTTATTAATTAAATGGCTTTGTTCTTCAAGGATGTCCAGAAGAAAGAACGGAACGATGAATCAAGATAAAGAAGGGAGAATTAAATAATTTCACATGCATAAACATAACAAAAAATATGGGATATAGTCCTGGAATAAACATATACACATGTGAATATAACACAAAGCATCAAAACAACACTGACCGCTTCTGTACTACAACACAAATCAACCACATCCCTACCCTGTTATATGATGCACTAATAATTGATTATCTTTTGGGAATCCCACGCGATACCAAGTATTGTAGAATTCTGAACATTAATTGATATCAAATGTGTCATTTAACTTCATATTTGGTACGATGTGAGCTTTATAGAAGGCTATTAACTTGATGTAGTGTTCGAAATCTACCAATAGTTACCTTCGTGTGGTCAGCAACGTATATTATTAGAGATAAAGAAAAGGAAAGCTATACAAAAAAACGGAGTACTTTGAAAGATGTGGCTCACTTCAAAGGAACTCACAGAGTGATAAAACAAAAAAAGTACAAGACTAAAAGTGTTCATCCCTCACAGAATTCAATACAATTTTGTGTGTTGACTCACGATCTGGGTTTTGATAAGCTATCAACGATAAGTCGTTTTTCCTCCCATATTGATTACATTGCTCTTGCTGTTTGTCTGCGAAACCATCAGAACAGACCTGTGCGAAAAGATATAAATAGTAACAGTAATAAATGATACAACATAATAATAATAATAATAATAATAAATTTGTATCGCATTGATACAACAATATTCAGCTGCGCTGGTTCAGAGCTCCTTTTTACTGAATTCTACCAAAAAAAAGGATCTCTCAATTGAAAAATTATGTTTTTAATTTGGATTTGAAGATATTGAGAGATAGCGTGCTTCATAATGTAATGAGATGGTTGCTATCACTTGATTCCTCTTTGCAACTGGCACGTGACCAATTACGAGGCGCCATTTTGGAGATGACAGGATGCAAGCTTCGTAAGTATATAAGCGAGGACTTTTACAGAGATTAATGATAACGCTGATTTACGAGCGACACTTTTTCCTTTGGATGGTTGAGGAATTTGACTACAATACTTAAAATGATTCAATAGAAAGTTAGTTATCATGTAAAATACCCATGAACTCTATTTTTGTTATATAATACCTTCTGTATTTGTATGTTTTAAATGTTTTTATGAAGAGTATTGAATAAACTTTGAATTGAATTGAATTGAATTATTTCACAGTGTTATGGACCATGACTAATTTCTTCCGGGAAAAACCTCGATATTATATATTAAAGTCTTTGAAGTTTTGACTTGTAATTGTAATTAATGTAAACCGATGCACAACGCACGAAACAATGTAATAGATGACGTACCTGAAGATTACACAGTCGATATTCAACAGAATCACCGGAGCAGTCTGCCCCACGATCAGGACTAAAAATAACAAGAAAGATTTCAAACAATAATTAAAAGTCATTGAATATTACTTGGCGAATGGCGAATTTCGACAAATCAAACAAACACAAAGTCAGAAATAGTCTTATGAGAAAGGGGGATATTAAGCGGCAATATACATCACCATAGCTTTAAATTAAACAATTAACCTAAAGTAGTCCTACCTAATGTTTTAGGGCTAAGTATAGGTTTAAATGGGCATTTTAAAATAATTACAGTCAAACCTGTCTATAAAGGCTACCAAGGGAAACAGGAAAACTGGCCACTGTAGACAGGTGGCCTTAATAGAGAGGTGGGCATAAATAAAATGGGCATTTTAAAATAATTACAGTCAAACCTGTCTATAAAGGCTACCAAGGGAAACAGGAAAACTGGCCACTGTAGACAGGTGGCCTTAATAGAGAGGTTTGAATTTATTATCGAATGTTCTGATTTGAATGATGAATTTGGTGAATCTAAAGACAGAAATTAATATTTCTAATCTAGTTGCTCTTTTTTGGAGCATACAGACAGGGGTGGCGTTATGGAAACCGAACAGGGTACTATTACACCCTTGGATTCAATAAACATGGCCCTCAGATTTTGGAAACTTATAAAGCTTCTGAAAATGTTAGACCATTTCCTTTATTAAAAAAAACTCCAGTGCCGCCCCCGTATGTGTAGATAGGTTTCTATGGTGCTTCCCGTCATACTTACGGTGGATTGTTGCAGTATCTTCTTCGGCTTTGAACCCCGAGCCCACAGCTATAGGAACATAAACCCCATGGTTCCCAGGAGCCCCAACCACCGTCTACAGGTTTAGCTGATACACAAACTTCTTGGACACACTCCTGGGAAGGAGAGAAACATACAGGCGAAATACGGAAACATTTATTTTGTTGTCACACATTTTAATATATTAGAAGATCGTCAGAGGTATACGGGAAATGAATTCTTTCATACTCAAACAAAAGTTACTCAATGTATTAAAGCGTTACTGAACTGATGACCTTTCTACCCTTGCATACTGTTTGTTCACACAAGGCGCAATAGAGTGGTGAAGTTTGACGTCATCAAAAATCTATTTTTAGAATTTCTCAATTTTTTCTTCATTTTCCGAAAGAGCATCAAAAATGATGTCCATATGTCGGAATTCAGTGTTATATGCTCTGGCTCCTAACCATTAGGAGCCAGGGCATATAACACTGAGTTCCCATAGGACATCTATTCATTCAGATGGTCATATCTCAGCCAATACTTAACTTTTTCAATTGTTTTTTTCGACATTTGGACATTATTTTTGATGCTCTTTCGGAAAATTGCAACCTATTCAGTTAATTTTATGTCCTTGTCAAATATGTTCTTAACGTGTATTTTATATTATATAGATGCCTGTTATATGAAATGTTGTCTATTTAACTGAATGAAATAAAATTGAATTGAATTGAACTGAATGCTTAGGGTCAAGGTCATCATGACGTTTTAAGGACTAATGCTCAATAGAGTACCGAAGCTGTGACGTCATAAAAATCTATTTTTAGAAACCCCAATTTTTTCTTCATTTTCCGAAAGAGAAATTCTAAAAATAGATTTTTGATGACGTCACACTTCACCACTCTATTCTTTACACCGATCAGTCTTTTTAGCATAATCATTAATGTCTGTACCATATTTTCTCCACATGAGGATCCATCCATAGGGGGTCCTTTCATGAAACAGCCCCCATCCAGATCGGGGGAGGTGCAGTAGAGTTCCATACAAAAGTCTACATCGGTGTGCTGTTAACAGAAAATGTAACCACAGTTACGTAATATTAATAATAACTTTCTGCTCCGGTTTAATGCATATCATATTGATTCTCTCCTGTCTGCGAGAGTAGTGCCAAATAGAATATTAATAATAATAATAATAATAATAATAATAATAATAATAATAATAATGATTATAATAATATTATTGATAGTTATAATAAAAAATAAAAATAATACCCATACTACTACTACTACTACTACAACTACTTCTATTTCAACTGCTAAAAAGCCCTCCGCCTGCCGGTTTTTGTTTTTTTTACATTCACTATTACTACTACTTCTACTCATGATAATATTATTGATACAAAAAATAATAATTATAATGATGATGATCATCATAAATCTTTTAACAAAAACCTACATGACATTTCCGGTACGTCTTGCCGAACTGAAAGCTGCACTGTTGGTCCATGGTATAGTTCCTCCCCGGACGATCATTGCCGACGGCTCGAGTCCCTCCAGTCGGAGTGTCCCACAGACATGACCAGTTCCTGATGAGGTTAGAGAATGGTGAAAATAATACATGATAAATCTGTATTTATTTAGCGCTTAATACGAAATAACGTCTCTACACGCATAATATTTACTTTTGCGCTTAATACGGAATAACGTCTCTACGCGCTTTACATTTACTTCTGCGCTTAATACGGAATACCGTCTCTACGCGCATTATATTAGTTTTTGCGTTTAATACGGAATACCGTCTCTACGCGCACTACATTTACTTTTGCGCTTAATACGGAATGACGTCTCTACGCACATTACATTTACTTTTGCGCTTAATACGGAATGACGTCTCTACGCGCATTGTATTTACTTATCAGGGTCATCGGATTCCTTCAGGCACAGTGTGCACCATCTCCATATCCTGAGGGACGTACTTTTACTATACGGTCACCGTGAGGGCATATGGAAATTACCATCACAAAGGTTTCCGTCATATTATTCCTCTACTGGGTATGGAGTGGCAAATATAGATTAATGTCTTGCAAAATGACACATGACTTATTGTGACGTACCGGAAATCCAACCCACGAACTTTGTATTTCTAGTCAAATGCTCAGCCACGCGACTACGACACCTCTATGATCATAGTACTTACAATTATCATATAAAATAATAGAGGCATAGATGCAAAGATAGAAACAAAGATACATGTATATATATATATATATATATATGTATAGACAAAGAGAGAGAGAGAGAGAGAGAAAAAGAGGGGAAGAGAGGGAGAGAGAGAGAAACGGGGAGAGAGAGTGAGAGAGAGGGGAGAGGGGGTGGGAGGGGGGATCGGGAGGGGAGAAGGGGAAGGGGTGTGCAGGTGAGAAATTTAAAGGGGGATGTGAGTATGGAAATAAGAGGGGGTTATATAGTACTTACAGTAAATTGGAATGAAGTTCACGTTTGCTGCATTCTGACCAGTGATGATTCTTTGGAGTGGACAGTACTACAGTAGCCATGATAGAATACCCAGACGCTTCATCATCACAATCATTTCCTTGACCGCTCCAGGCTTGACCATCATGTTCCATACCCAATCTTTAGATAATTGATTATATTAATAATAATTGCATATGACAATTTTAAATGAATATTATTAACAGTTTTTTTTTTTATTCATCATTTTCGAAATGGGGGAGAGTAGTTTCTTTCATTACGACATTACTGTGCGCATTTTTTACTTCGATTGACACTTCGAAAAACACTTCAATAACTGAATTTGTATTTATATTTCTCTTCCATATTGTTATGTGTTGTTTATTTAGCATGAATTTATGATGTTAAGCGCATTGAGCAATATTTTATTGGATTTTGCGCTATATAAAAAAAACACAAAAGTATGTATGTAAAGTGATATCTGTTTGTGCTAATGGCGCTTTGGCGCAACCTCTGCTCCATGATAGTAGCATGCGTGTATTGATTTTATTTGTTTTTTTCTACATATCTATCATTCACTGTCAAATAATTAGACAATATTGAATTCAACGATCAGGATATCACGTCATAAAAAATTAAAAATCCTGAAAATAGACGGACTTATTTTCAACACCCATCATCCAATTCATGGCAATTTCATTATTATAAGAAACGTTGAGTTCTAGTAATGGTGGTCACCCAACGATGTTTCTGTATATACAATATAATTTCATAAAAAACAACAACAACGACATAACAACGAAGTCGACGCACACACATACACACACACACACACACACACACACGCACACACGCACGCACACACACCCGTCCAAAGAGTAACTACCACGACGACGACAACAACAGTAACAACCACAAAGATTGTTGGACATTGATTGGGACAGTGACGCAGACACGAACAATTATCTAGGTTCCTGCAGCGGATGGAATTCAACTCCAAAAACAATACGACACTATATAGGGAAATAAAACAATCGAATGATAGAGCACTGATAAATATAAGTTACACAAATGATAGTGCCTACCTCAAAATACTCTAAGTAGAGTACCTATAATCAAAAGAAATGAGAGGCCAAAGCTTTGCTATCGTTTACACTGCAAAACGGTTCTCTATTTCTTTGAAGAGGTTATAATCTAACAATATATTGGCATTATTTGTGTTCTTGCCAAGATTTAGTGTGTTCCATTGGCTCTAAGTTCCGTTGGAAGTATGTTCTTACATGTTGGTTCCTACGTCCTATCGATCGTATGCTCCATTTGTCGTATGTTTCATTGGAACTGTGTCCTAAGAGCTAAAGCTCCGTTGGCATAATGTCCCATTGGCTCCACGTCCCATCGGTGCTACGTCTCTCTGTCACTTTATCCCATTGGAACTATGTTCTAAGTCTCCACGTTCCATTTGATCTACGTCCAATTAGCCCTATATTCCATTGGAACTATGCCCCAAGTCCCTACGTCCAATCGGTACTAGGCTACGTAGGTCCCAATTGGCCCTATGTCCCTTCATAAGTCCCTATTTCACAATGGCTCTCCGTCCCATTGGTACTACGTCCCACTCAAACTATGTCCCAGGTCCATCTAGGTCCCATTGGCCCTATATTCCATTAGAAATATGTCCTTAGTCCCCTACGTTTCATTGGACTTACGTCCAATTGGCCCTATATTCCATTGGAGCTATGTCCCAAGTCCCTACGTCCCATTTGCCATATGTCACATCAGAAACATGCCCAACGTCCCCATATCCCATCGGCTCTCCGTCCCATCGGGGCTACGTTCCACTGAAACTATGTCCCAAGTCCCCGAGTTCCATTTGACCTACTTCCAATCGACTTCCAATCTCCCATGTCCTACGTTCCATCAGGAACATGTCTTAAGTCCATATGTCTCAATGGTGCGACGTCATATGTGTGCTGCGTTCAATTGGTGCCCTGCATCCGACTGGTGCTTCATCCCAATTCGATAATGGTCCCATGTCCATATGGAGTATAAGTACAATCGTCTTACACTCCATTGGTCCCACATCGCAACGTCTCATTGGACCTTATATCCAAATTGTTCAATGTTCACACTGGAATGACGCTCCTCGCATCTCCAACCCTGATGGGAGCGACAAAGGACGTTACAGTAGAGAGACGTCTCCTTTCGTTGCGATGGAGGCAGTAGCAAATGATGGTAGGAGTTGAGATGAATAACCTCTTCAGATCGGGTGCGACTTTTGAACAATTCATGATCGTCATTGCATTTACTTACACATGGCCTAGTTCATGAGCAAGGACGAAGGCAGATCCAAGCCCGTCATCTTCTGTGAGAGAACAACTGAAGTAGATCCAGCACATGAGTCCCAATGGGGCAATACCTGGAGAAAGATGACATGGGTGTAGGGAAGGGAATACATAGGCACGAACGTTAAGACATCACATGATGGGTTTGACCAGGAAAGAAAAACGATTTGAAATACTTACACGTGACCTGTTTCGTGGGCTATTACAAAAGAGGTCTGGAGCCCGTCGTCCTTTATCAAAGAGCAGCTATGCGAGAGATGGCACACATACCCAACAGGCGCATAGCCTAGATAGTAGTTATTTTGATGCATGGGTGGGAAGAATGAAGGGTGACGATGATGGAGGATTGTTAGGGACAGGAGAAACGGGTGGGAGGTAGATAAAGAGAAGGGAGACATGTCATAGGAAGAACGAGTGGGGGGGGGGGTAAAGGTAAGAGCGGAGAACAACAAAGGAAATGGAGACGGTTTTGCAATGGGGGGGGGGGGGGGGGGGTAAACACAGAGTGGGAATATTATGATGATGGAATGGGAGCACAAACAAGGCGAAGGAAATGGATGGAGATAAGATTGAAGAGTGAAACGAAAGAGAAGAAATGCAGAGAGGAAAAGGACAAAGAAAAGGGGTGAGATGGGATAGATAGAACAGGAGTCATAAAGGGAAAACAAAGGAAATAAAGATGGGCGTAGCAACAAGTGAAGAGGGGTAAAATGTAGGGATATCATGAAATGAATACACAAAGAAGGGGAAGGGGGAAATGAAGGAGAAAGAGAGGGAGAGAAAAATAGAGCTAATGAAATATAGTTTCATGCTTTTACTATGCAGGCTGTGCAAAAACGAATTAAAGTAATGGATTTTCTTCTCATGCATTCCTGTCACAGCGAGGCACTTCAAACCAAACAAGCAAACGACGTTACATCATCAGGAAAGAGAAATCGTAAGAAATGAAATCATATTAAATCCGTAAATGTTTTTAAAAAACACTTCTAAAAGTAATGCCTCAAATGAATTTCTTTTTTCCCTCACTCTTCTTCTTCTTCTTCTTCTTCTTCTTCTTCTTCTTCTTCTTCTTCTTCTTCTTCTTCTTCCTCCCCTTCTCCTTCACTTCTTCTTCTTCTTTTGTATTAATGATTAGTGCTTTGTATGTTTTTTTTCCGTGTATCTCATTTTCACTTTTATTAGTTTCAATACGCTATTGTAATTTTGTTTGGCATTGCAATGTTTATCTATGCATATCTGGTTGTTCTTTTTTATTTTGTTGTTGTATATCCTTAATAAGGACAATGGTGAAAAACAGCTTTGCTGATCATGTTTTTATCCTGTATGAATATATTTCCATAAATAAATAAATAATCAATCGAAATGAAATCATACAAAATTGGTACAATCGATTGAATGACAAACAGCCGAGTATGACCATGCATAAACGGCCTATGCTATAAGCATGCATCTATCTTACATGCTGATATGAAAATGAATTGTAACGTCAAAGGGGCAAGGATGCGTTTTATCAATCGTTTTTATTTGTGATAAAACTTTGGCACGAATTGCGTCAAACATGCAATTATCTTTTTTTAGAAAGTGCTGGAAATACAAGATCAATTCATTTAATATCAATGTGTTTTCCTCTTAAGCTTTGACCTATTTGTATTCACTTGTGGTCGAGTGGATACGTCGCCGGACTGTCGATCACAAGGTCCGCTGTTCGAGTCCCGCCGCCGCACTAATGTCCTTTGGCAAGACATTGATCTACATTTGCCACACTCCACCCAGGTGAAGCAAATGGGTACCTGGTAGGAATTTATTCCTTGAAATGCTAGAACACCGTAATGGCAGCCGTGCTAAAGCCAGTGCAATAATCAGGAGCGCCAGGAGGGTCGAATCTGACTGACATGAGCGCTATACAAGAACCCATTTTTATTATTATTATAGACACCATTCCAAATTATTCATGATTTTTAGAGCCAGGGTAATACTGGTGGAGCGCCAGAAAAGTCAAGTCTGACAAACATAACTACTATACAAGAACCCACTTTTATTGTTTTGTTATTATTACTACAACTAATTCCCTGTTTATCATGATGTTGTAATTTCTTTACTTAAAGACCGTCAATACTACTGGGCCAGAAAGGATTAGACCACACAGCGAGGTCACTGACAGGTCTCATTAACTCAGCTATCAACTAACATAAGAAAAAGAGGATCATGGGGGACCAACAGGCACTGATTGGGGAAGTTTTCTATATAGAGGGAGCAAGTAGCTACAAGTAGGACAGTGGGGCTTTAAAAGGAATAAAAATGGGTCGCTATACCTCCAACGTTCATCCCTTCGCTGAATACATTTATGTGCACCATCTCCACTTACCTGCTGGTCCAAAGTGAGTCCGAGTCATGAAGATAGAATGATCAAAGTAACTTGGTGATCCGTCATCTTTAACGATTCTCCTTTGAACCCTTGCAAAGCGACACGTGTTGGAGAGACTTTTCGCCGAGTCGTTTAGTACGACGTATTGCTCGGACTAAAACAAGAAAAGAAACAAATACATTGCAATTTGATTGACTGAAACGATTTTCAGGAATACTAGCCTCTTCCTCTCCAAATTATACAGACAACTTATGAACCTGTCAATATTTATTTCGCGGTGTATTGATCCAACAATTGTTTTAAAGACCGTCAATACTACTGGGCCAGAAGGGATTAGACCACACAGCGAGGTCACTGACAGGTGGCTATCTCATTAAAGATAAAGTTGAGTTCCGGTCATGTGATTGCATTGTGAAAGAAACGGTGTGGAATCTATCAGAAAAGGTTGATCATCTAGTATATAAGTATTCGTGTATATTGCAAGGTTCTGGAATCATCAAAAAGATGAGACATTTGGCCAAAGCTTGGCAAAGTTACAAGCACTGTACACAGAATGATGTATATGGGACTACACGAGCACATGGCGAAAAAAACCTACCCCGATTTTTACGTATTTTATGTCATATTTAGAATATGAAGGCATTTGAAGAGCCATGCTTTTCAGGGAACATGTTTAATCTTTTCAGGGAACATGTTTAATCTGATGTTCTTCCACCCTTGCATAATAACAATGATAACGCTCACAAATTATTTTGTACCTCTTCCCAGAACTCAACCTTCTCTTTAACTCAGCTCTCAACTAACATAAGAAAAAGAGGATCATGGGGGACCAACAGGCACCGAATGGGGAAGTTTTCTATATAGAGGGAGCAAGTAGCTACAAGTAGGACAGTGGAGCTTTAAAGGCTAGCAAAAACAGATGACGAGGATAAATGTAAATTGTCGTATAAAAAACAGAGAACAAAGAGTTGATTTTTTAAATCATCATAGCTCATGCGCATGACATTATCTTTTATATTGGGGAGGCAGGGGCGCCCCACATGAGGTCAGGTTCTAGATACGCCACCGTGTGTTACATAATATTGAGAGCACCATAGGAAGAAGCATTGATAGATAAATAATTTGCGAGGTACATGAAGCATGAAAGGTGACTGACGCTGTTTGTCAAAATACCGTTGAACCTCTAGTTTAGGAGCATACAAACAGGCTCGTTATAATTCAGAGAGTGAAAAAAGAGCGAAAAGAAGAGTGCATAGATTGTTAAATTGAAAAAATTGTTAACACATAGTTGTTACACTGAAAAGTTCACTGAAATTATCTTAAGTGTTGTTCAAATACGACGCGATTACGTGCCGCAAAACAGAAAAGCCGCGGTTGTTTTAACGTGTAAATAAGGACTTTTAGATTTACACGACGAGAGCGTGGACTGCCGCGTGTGACATTGTGTTAAGGCACTGGGCCGTGTCCTGCAGTGCCTTAAATGGACATCACATTACCTTAAAAGGATGTCACACTTGGCGGTCCACGTTCTCGTCGTGTAAATCTAAAAGTCCCTAATGAAGAGCAGCTGTGAGCACCAGTAAATGCTTTATGATTATATTGCAGATATGTTGAGCGTATTACACCTTACGCCATTTTGAAGAAGAAAAACGCCAAGGTTTTGCCGCGTCATAACTGAACAAGATCTGGGTGGCGTTTCACAAATCCTGTCATCAGTGACAAATGACAGTTTTTGTTATAAGCTACTAAAATCCTTGCTTCTGATTGGTTATCAGCAGATTTGTCACTGATTTTTGTTATTTGTCATTAAAAAAAAATGGTTTGTGAAATGGGTCCCTCAACGAGCCTTTACAGAGATGACTATTGGTATTTTGGGACAAAATAATTTGAAAGCAAACCATGCATCTGGAGACCGTTTTCGTTTGTTTATGTTTATTTGATTTAAACTCCTACCATTTCTTCGTTGAGAAGATTAGCTCTGGTGATAACAAATTCTATCTTGGCTTCGAGCGACGGATGAGCGTAAACCATATTCACCTGTATTAAAAAGAACAAAATTGATATTAATAACAGAAAATTATTTTACGTGAACTGCTCCCGAAATACATTTCAATTACCAAAACTAAAGGTATAAACTCAAAAGGGTATATGCTCAATACGCAATCTATTTGATGTATATGTTAAATTATTTTCAAGGTAAACCATACAACAGCTTTTTCATATGGCATGTTTTTAAATACGAGTTACTCTTGGATAACATCTCGGATGTTGTTTCAGGGGCTCTCGGGACATAGTATTTTTTTTTGGAGAGTTTTTTGAGAGCTTTTGAAATAGCATCTGGGAACTAAGGAAAATCTTCGGGGATATTTTATATCACTGAAGATTTTCTCTTAATAGTTTAAGAAAATACTTAAAGTGAATGTAAAATTTTGTTATGATGTAATGATTTGTGTGTTGGTTATTTTTGTAAATGAATAAAGTACCTCTGACAAGAGGAAAAAAAAAAAAAAAAAAAAAAAAAACTCAAAAGGGTAGACCATGTTAAGCTGCAACAAGTTGAAGATGTATTGAATTTGCATGTTTCCTCTGTAATAATATTTATTTTGGTACGTACTGATTCAAGAGATTATCTAAGGTCCCCCGTCATGATTATAGCAAGACATACAATGGTGTTCTGAGTTATAAAGTAATAAAATATAGGGAGAGCGGGTACTGGGATTCGATCCGTTCCTCCTAAATGAGGTTACAACAGAGTTCTCTAAAATTCGTAGCACACGAGGCGTCATTTACCTTCGCTAATTAATTGCGCTAATTACTTGCGCTAATTACCTTCGCTAATTGCGCCTCTGAAGTCAGTCAAACCGAACGACAGACATATGTTATATTAGAGGCCTTGTAATCATAGCTCATTTTTTATTCACCAAAGGCATTCGTTTTCCAAACAATAAGCAAAATACGCATGAAATGCCGCACAATCACTGACGCAATCCTGCGTCAGGCAAATAACGCCTCGTGTCCAACGGGCATTGATGGTAATTCTCCTATACGTACGATGTTCATCATTGTGAGGAAGTATACACCGGAGGCTTGCGCTCCATGGAAATTATGAACGCTGAAATCCAGCGTTGCCATGGTTTCCACATAATGTTGCCTGGTGACGATCCGAGGTGCTCTCTTTGACCGTCGGCGATTCTCAGTCTCCTGTAATCGTGCACGCCCCACCAATCTGGCTGCTTGCCGTCGGAGCTGCGCGCTCGAGCGCATGACGTCATTATGTAAGTCTATTGTACCCGGCGTTGCACCTGTTCCAGTGTTCCGTTGCGCGTCTCGGCTGCGGTACATGATATGGATGAGGCCGTTGCCGGTATAGTTGTATGTTTCAGATTGAGTGCCCACCAATTCCAGAGGCTCTATGAAATATTCCTCTTCAAAAGTCTTGATCAGTCCGCTCTGTTTGAACAAGAAAAATATTTCAAAAGATATTCTGAGTCTACTATTTGATAACTCCATTATATTGTTATAATATATTATATTATATCATCATCATCATCATCATCAACTTCAGGTGGCGCTGTAAAGCGCTGCTGTGGTCTTCACGAGAGCACGCCATGCAAGTCTTTCACCTGCCATTTGTGTTGCACTTTTCATTCCTTGTCCAGACACTTTCTTGATATCATCAGTCCAAGATATTGGTGGACGACCTACCCCGTTTTCCTTCGACTGCTCCTTGCAGTATTTGCTTCTCAACACCTTCAGATCTCCTAACAATGTGCCTAAAATAGTTTAATTTTCTTTCCATGATTTCCCTTTTGATGGTCATGTCTGTTCCAATCTTATCCAGGACCCACACATTTGTCTTTTTATCTTTCCATGACACCTGCAACAGCCTCCTGTAGCACCACATTCCAAAGGCATCAACTCTCTTTCTGTCATTATTTGTCATGGCCCAGGACTCACTTCCGTAAGTAGCAATATATTATATTATAAATATAGAGTATTATTTGAAACTATCCATTCGGATTCTTGTTTTTTGTAATTTTATGTAGTTCTAAAAGTGAAACAAATCAAAACCAATGAAAAAGTTGTCTTAATCTATGTTTCTCCAGGCATCAAGAGGATCTTTACGGAGTTGAATTTAAACTTTAGTCAGGAGTGGTCAGGAGCTACCCGAATGATCCTAAGCAATTCCCAACCCTTTCAACCTGGCACTGCAATGTTCCTAAAACTAACAAAACCAATAATCATATACTCCTGGTGATATTTGACATTGAAAACATACATCAGGATATTGCCTATGCTGTAGGCGGAACTTCCTATCAACGAATTATTAAAGATAAACTCCAGTACTGGTAAAAAAAAAAAAAAAAATTCTCACAGAATCAAACGAAACTTACACTGAATGTTCAAGATTACAAATAAATGACATGTGCCAAACAATTTTGGAAGAAAATGTATACTGGCTGAGTAATGAGCATAGAAAGACAAGGAAACCAAGGTAGTACCATCCCCGACACCATGTGTGTTGTCCCATATATAGCTTTCTATGTGAGTGTTTGTTACTTTACCAAGACTCGGTCAAATTTATTATGATTTTGATGACTCCAGAACCTTGCAGTGCACACCAATACTTACATGCTACATGATCAACTGTTTCTGATCCTTTCACACCTTTTCTTTCACAATGCAATCACATTACCAGTACTAAAGTTTATCTTTAAGGCTTCCCCTGTCCATCCCGGTCGACAAGTGCGTCCAGACGGTGAAACTGTGAAAGTTCGCCGTTTACATAGTTACGATGAGAATGTCAAATCACGCATTTAAGCACATCAGTGTATATCCCATACCGTTTGGACAGTAAAAATGCCTAAATTAACCATACAGTATTACAGGGGTGCTATGGTCCAGTGGATAAGTCACCGGACAGTGGATCACGTGAGTCAAGGTTCGAGTCCCGCCGCGGCAAGGAATGTCCTTTGGCAAGACATTAATATACCGGGTCACACCAGGTGGATTAAATGGATGGTACCCGGTCATGGCGGCTCAGCTAATTAAAGCCGGTGTAATTCAATATGATATTTTGTATCAAACGCAGTAGAGTATATTGTATGGTAGCTGCTAAATATGAATGAACATATCATAATTATTATTATCAAATTTATTGAATTGGGGGCATATGTGAATCAGATTAGAATACTGTATGGATGCACTCTATGGCAACCCACGTTATATGGACGAGAGCCAGTGAAATCGGAAGTACGGAGAAGGTCGCAAGTGTTTGTAAGCGACACATTTTACAAAAGCAGAGTAAAGTGGCATGGGCAATACAAAGTTGACCAAGAAAACAAATATATCGAGAGATTATCTTCTTAAAAGGATGACAAATTTAATGTTTATGGCTAGTTTAAGAGCAGCAATTGGAGGGTTTCATTGACAAGAAGACGTACATGTACAATACAAAGAGATATAACAAAGCCTCTTCAATCAGTTTGAAAATGTCATGATCTAAGGAAATAGAACAGACTTTTGAATGTGTTAAAGCAAAAATGAAAAATGAAAAATTAATACACTATACTGTTTATGGGATATGATTCATTTAACTTTTTTTTCGCAGATTATTTCATATGTTAGATGCGCATTTATAATAAGGAAATAGACTCGAATATGAGAACGTAACAAAATTGATTAGACGGTTTACCATTCCACGACAATTGCTAACTGCTACTGCAGACGACGGATCCGAACCGATTAGATTACCGCGGTAGAAACAGTTCATTTGTGGCTTCTCGATCACAACCGACCCATTCGGAAGGTATCGGTAAACTACAAAATAAAACACAAAATCACAAATCAAATGTTACGTAATAAATATGTATAAAACATGTCATTAAACTAAAAGAGAGAATTCAATATAGAGGCAGAGTGGGTGAAGTGAGAGGCATAATTTAAAACGATCATTGGACCTGGTTATACAGTATCAATATAATCATCAAGTAGAAAGGAATACAGAGAGATGGATAGGTTAATAGACAGATAGATAGAGAGTGAGAGAGGGAGGGAGGGAGGGAGAGAGGGAGAGAGAGAGGGAGGGAGGGAGAAAGGGGGAGGGGGACGTGGGAGAGGGAGGGGACATGACAGAAGGACACAGTACAAACAAATCTTACCTTCAAAATTTGGAGACACGAGTTCCTTATCTCTCGTTACATTGATGGTAAACCTTGTACCGAAAGCTTCCATCGAGAAATGAAACACTTTCTGCTCGAGCATTTCATCATCTTCCAAATAATTCTCCCCGAACACCGCTCTTCGTCTTCGGCGCCTCTCGGCTTGCCTTCGGACCTGATGAAAGTCGAAGACGTCATCTTCGTATGCTGTCGAGAGGTCATGGGTCAAGAAATCCCCATCGGGCGTGGATCTGTATGGTCTGACCAGGTGATATTTGTCGAGTTTGGAAAGAAGATGTTCTGCATATAAAACATATAAATATATATTTATTATCACAATATCATCTGATAATTCCTTTTCGTTAAAGCCCCACTGTCCTATTTGTAGCTACTTGCTCCCTCTATATAGAAAACTTCCCCAATCGGTGCTTGTTGGTCCCCATGATCCTCTTTTACTTATGTTAGTTAAGAGCTGAGTTATAGAGAAAGCCACCTGTCAGTGACCTCGCTGTGTGGTCTAATCCCTTCTGGCCCAGTAGTGTTGACGGTCTTTAAGTGATCCATCATGATCAAAACAAAACAAGTAATTTCCTGATGTGTTGTGCAAACCTACAATTTGAGAAAGGCTTGATAGATCAATAATTATTCACTTCGCATAATTATCATGATTCAAACTTCAAGAAAAACATTTGAATTGGAGTGGAATGATGTTATAATTACATTTAAACTCTTTTGGTAGAGACCAATTCATCAGCACACGCTTTGTACACCATAATCATGATATAAATACAATTCCACAAATGATGTTAGAATTCAACAACATTCATCAATCAGTCGAAATAAAGCATGCTATATGTCGATTGATTGATGAATGCTTAAGGGTAACATCACAAACATAGGCAAAACCAGGGAACAGATTTGATAGGGGGACCGTGGCGAAGTGGTGATACTTTTCCAAGGGCCCTTCCATCTAACATTGAAGTTGTCCGTTATAATTATTGAGATAAAAAGGGGTCAATATCCAGATAGATCGGCAGTGTACTCTTTATATTCAGCGTCAATGAGGTTGAATCTTAGCTTTGGTAAGGGGGTATCATTCTCCATGCACTCAAATATTGTGACGCCGGCACCAAAACCTCAAATGGCCATGATGCTTGCCATTTGTCAGTGTAGTGACATGTTTTATTGGTCACATTAATTCAAGTTCATTGCGGCTGCAACCATTCGCCTCTCTTCACAGTCACTTGTTTGCGACGTTTGTATTATGTTTGCACAAACAATAGCCACCAATAAATTGAGGGAAAGATTACCCTGTGCAACACGACGGCTTTGCAAAAACACCCATTTCCGGTCTTGATAAGATCCTAGACAACCCTTTAAAGCCCGTCTGTACTAATTTGGCCAGGGGACATAAACCACCCTGCATGGTCACTGGCAGGTGCTTATCTCATCAAATCAGCTCTCAATTAACATAAGAAAAAGGGGATCATGGGGGACCAACAGGGACCAATTAGGCATTGTTTGCTATATAGAGGGCGCAAGTAGCTATAAGTAGTACAGGGCTTTAAATACCAGTATAGATTGATCATGCACTGGAAACATTTGAATAATCATGAAGCATTCGGTATATCTATCTCATGATGAATACAATGTGGCACACAAAGTTTATGTGTGTGTGGCATATAAAGAGTTAAATAGTGATCGGAGTGTGCAGGGGGTCTTCTTACACCTGTTCTCCAATCTGTAATTATACCACGTGACATTACTCTCAATGACGAAATAGGACTTCCCTTGTAGTTCTTCGTAATGCTGATATACACAAACCGTTGCTGTGCATAACAGTTTCTGCACTAAGAGACCACAATAGGCTCTGTACTTTAGCCGCTTCACTGACATATCTAGGCTCTGCTCAAGGATTTAGGAATTGTGTTAAACTGTCAAATTATTGTCTGTACTTTCAGACTACGTATACATCGCATTACATGCACTTTATACTTTAATAGCTGACAAAGGAGATCGCAAAAACTATCAAATATCAACCTAAGGAAATTTAAATTGTCTATTAACTTTTGAAATGTTAGAATATTACACAAGTCGAACACGAATTATGTAGTATTGACGTAACCATTGGGCTGAATGCTTGAAAGCCTTTGCGATCCTGTTTGAATTTAAAGATGAAGTTGAGTTCTGGTCATGCGATTGCATTGTCAAAGAAACGGGGTGGAATCGACCAGAAAGGGTTGATCATCTAGCACATAAGAATTTGTGGGTATTGCAAGGTTTATCCAAGTCTTGGTAAAGTTACAAACACTGTACACAGAAAGATGTATATGGGACTACACGAACACGTGGCGTAAAAATCAGACCCTGGATTTTTACGATGTTACATGACATATTTAGAATATGAAGGCATTTGAAGAGCCATACTTTTCAGGGGAACATGTCTTATCTGATGTTCTTCCACACTTGCATAATAAGAATGATAACGCTCACAATTTTTTTCACCTCTTCCCAGAACTCAACCTTCTCTTTAAGGCAATTCCTAAAGCTTACCATGTTTCTTGCTGAATATACTCTTGTCGTTTTCCTCAGCCTGTAAACAAATCGAAAACGAAAAATAAAGAGTGACAATTCGATCAATTACGTTAATAAAAAAAATTAAAACAAATCGACGAAAGATGTAACTTTTAATTCACATGAAATAGCAAGCACACTCTAAAAAATGTTGGGCAAAAAGTTTCCCAATTCATACCCAACATGAGGGCAATTATTTTTCCTACCAACTATTTGGTAAATTAAGATTTTGCATGATTTACCCAGTGTTGGATTAAAAGAAAATACCCAACTTTTAAACAACAAAAATTTACCCAATCAGAAAATCACCCTATTCTTACCTTAATGTGTAGCACATTAGATACTAGTTGAGCGAAAAAGTTGGATTAAATATTTTGTTATTGGTAGAAAATAACCCGATTGTTGGACAGAAATGGCACAACTTTGATTTGCCTAATATCATTACCCAATTATTTCATCGATAACGACATGGTTGGTAGAAAATAACCCAATTGTTGGACAACATTTGCCCAATATCGATTTGCCAAGTAACGCCTACCCAACCTATTTTTTTGTTGTTACCTTCATTAACTTCGTATAGTAGATGGTTGGGAGAAAATAACCCAATCATTGGACAAAATTTGCCCAACTTGATTTGACCAGTATTAAACATCTGCCAAACTTTTTTGTTACAGTACATAGGAATTAGGAGTAAGACATGAAATAAGCGCTTGACATTTTGTGGTTCAACAACTTGAATTTGATAAAATTTGCATTTCTATTATTTCCAGTTCCTGTATGATGTCATCTAAATTCGATCTCCTCTTTTCCCACTTGGGTGCCTTTCATCTCGGTTACCTTGGTTACCAATACCGTTCAACATTCTGTGCAGATATAAACCAGTTGTCAATCTCTTTGGAGAGGTAAGGATCATTATTTTCCCCGAATGTCACTAAAGGCATCGTTTAGCAATGTAAAATCTGAGATGCATGGCCCTACGTGTTTTCAGTGTCTGTGTCATGGTGTAATATTGAAGCCCTAAAAAAAAATTGCGCTTCAAAATAATCATGAAGTGCCTCAAAAAAGCAAAAAATCTTTGAGTGACCGGTTTTACCATACTCATGTTTCCCAATAGACTGTAGTGTTATTATAACCGTTAGGAAAATGAATTCTGAAATTTCTAATTCAAATCATAGATATCTTGATAATCAGACAGACGATTGGCTTGTAAAAGTCATGGGATTCATGTATGCCCTAAAGGTGTATAATTATAATAATAATGATAATAATAATAATAATAATAATAATAATAATCTTTTAAAGTCCACTCCAAATTTTATTAAGTTAAACCGAAAATGGAAATTCTTTTTGCCCAATTGATCGTGATCCCGGCAGCCACTGAGCAGCGCCAGATCGACGTTGCCCTATCCCTTGTTGTTGAACGCCAAACAAGGTAGCAGCAACTCCCGTCTTTTAACGTCTTTTGGTATGACGCGGCCGGGGCTGATGATGATTGCAGCATGAGCTAAATCCATGATTTTGTTTAGAATCTGACGCAAAGACACCCAATCCCTTTAAAGAATTTCATTTGTTTGGGGAAGCCATCCTCGATATCGAGGTAAATTATGTGGCATCCTTGGCAGCGATGGCCTGCATCTGTTTTCTCGATCCGTGGAGGAGCATCTTAATTCTTCTTATTATTCTTTGGAGTCATTCTAAGTGTTCCCGACTAGCTTGGGTCGACCGAATAACCCTCCATAGGCGGTCCTGCTCTTGAACTTAAAGGTATGTCTTGAAAATGTTGACAAGACGAGATAAAAGTCCTCTTTGCGACTTTGCCTATCCCTTTCTTCATTTCTTCCTTTCTCTCATTTATAATGAATAATTGTATTTATGTATTCGGGCGTACCCACCACAAGCTATGCTTTTCGGGTTTCGCGCCTTCTTCCTTGTAATACAAGTTCTTTGATTATATTTATGTTCCTACTTATAAATTGTATTGTTTGGAAGAAAATAAATGTTCATTTGAATTGAATTAGAATTGAACACAAACATTCTAAGATTTAGTATAAGATTGCTTCAAGAAATTGCTTCAAATATCCAGTTGCATCATTCATGATCAAATCCTGTTGAAATAGTCCCCAAACTTTGTATTGCCTTTAGTATCGATGTAAATTTATTCCCAAACTGTTGAAAATTAGTAGCACCTATAGATGCAGAATCTAGCGTATAGTCAAAGATCATTAACAGCATTTTCCGTTTTATCAAGAATGTTTGTTTCCATCAACATTTCTTATTCCTTTATATGTCCGTGGAGGTAGAAGAAGTTATGTATAACATGTAATGTAAGCATCATCGATTGAAAATAATTCATTGATGTACTCATGTAAATGAAACCATTGTCATGTTTAAAACGAGACATCTGGCTTGTTCATCTTCGTTAAGACTGTCTAAATTCTTGGCTGGCTCTCTCATCCATGATCTTGGCCGAGAGCCCGGAGACGATCGGTGTGGTTTGGGTCAATTATTCGCTTCCTCGCAGGCGGTCTCTCGTCACGACTGTGCGCCAAATTTGTGAAAATGTTTGTGTAACTTTTCCACCCATAACAGGACGCAAAGTTTGACACTTAGTATGACCGAACAACTCTAGAGGAGCATCTTCTTCTTCTTCTTTTGCTTCTTCTTCTTCTTCTTCTTCTTCTTCTTCTTCTTCTTCTTCTTCTCCTTCTTCTTCTTCTTCTTCTTCTTCTTCTTCTTCTTCTTCTTCTTCTTCTACTCCTCCTCTTCCTCCTATGACCGAATAACTTCAGGAGAAACATCATATTCAAGATTTTGACAAAGTTTTACTGACACTTTTGTTCCCTTTGTAACACATCATAGTAAGATAAATAAACCTTTTTTGAATGACTATGGGTGTTAAAATATTATCTTGTAAGCTCATGCAAGATTTGTTTTTCTTCTTCTCGAATCTCTACACAAGCCCGGTCCAATGGAGAACGCAAGATGTGGATTTGGAGTTCAATCCCTCTAGGTCTGCGGGGCTGGGATATAACATGGTTCTGGGAAAAGGGGTAGAGTTGAATTGAGTGGTGATAATACTTGTATTAGACTTATAATTCGTCCTTGTTTTCACGAAGTGACGGTAGTGAGGAAAATCGTAACGCAAAGTGAATGCAATTTTTTTTCACTACCGTCACTTCGTGAAAACAGCGACGAATTGTACCGGGCTCGAAATCAATTAATGTCCCATGCCCCCATGCAGAAGCGGCTCTTTTTAGAAGGATGATCTCGGTGGTGGTGGTGGTGGTGGGGGGGGGGGGGGGGGGGGGTTAGGGGCCCTAGGGTTTCTGAATTAAATTTGTAAATGTTTTTTTTAAATAATGTTACTTGATGGGACGTTCTTGAGCTCCTCGATTCCTGTAGAACGGCATACTGGATTAAAAACTACTACTACTTCTAATAATAATAATCTTTTAAAGTCCACTCCAAAGTGTACTAAGTTAAACCGAAAATGGAAATTCTTTTTGCCTAATTGATCGTGAGCCCGGCAGCCACTGAGCAGCGCCAGATCGACGTTGGCTCTACCCCTAATTGATGAACGCCACACAAGGTAGCAGCAAATCCCGTCTTTAAACGTCTTTCGGTATGACGCGGCCGGGGTTCGAACCCACGACCTACCCGTTAGGTAAGGCGGACGCTCTACTGACTGAACCGACACACATACAAGGTATGTCGGTTGCTTTGCTACAGTACCATCTTGTTTTACAATTGTGAGTGAAATAGACGCCAACAAAGAGTGCGTCAATAATATTCATGGATCAACCCCCCCCCCCCCTCCCCCCACTTAGTTGTATTTAGGGTACGCATATGCATGTTCCCTCCTTTTGAAAACACGGTGTGTAAAGTCAATTTTGTGTATGTACGAGCCGGACTTTGGTGCGTAAAAAGTACCCCTTTACCGGATATTTTGGTAACACGCATGCGGTCATTCCGACCCCGGAGTGGGAGGGCCGGGGATCAATCAACCAACCAACCATCAATGAATTACAATAACTGTACTCTAACCGTGTCACCAGTAAGTTCAACTTTGCCTCATACTATTATCATGACTATGGATAGAGTTTGGTCAGTCACCACCAGCTGATAATGGTATTTCTCCGACCGAGTCTGAATCGAAATTTAGTTAACTTTTTAAAACTATTAGATGACATCCCCAATTACTTGTTGACCACAAGTTCGATTTGCTTTATATTTCATCTCAGAATATAGGCGAATATGAGGTCAACTTGTGGTTCAGAGATGTGTCCTCATATACTGTGTCTCGCTACCTGTGAGACCAGCCTATAGTTTGCAAAAATAGGACAATCCGTAACGAGGTCACGTAACGAGGTCACGTAACATTTTGTGGTCACATGTCGAGACAAAATTGAACGAAAATTGACATTTTTCATATATTTGTATACAGAAACTTCCTATACAGCCAATTTTGTTTTTATGCCTTTAAAAAAATCTCTTTTGTATGGTGGCCCTGAAGGGACATCGCGAATAGACTAAATCGTGAAAAATATGCGATAAAATTCACGATATCGTCAATTTTCTCGCATATTTTTCACGAAGAAATTCACGAAATTGACGATATCGTGAACTTTATCGTGAACTTTTCACGATGAAATTGACGATATCGTGAATTTTATCGTGAAAAGTTCACGATATAAAGTTCACGATATCGTCAATTTTATCGTGTACTCTATCGTGTACTCTATCGTGTACTCTATCGTGTACTCTATCGTGTACTCTATCGTGTACTCTCCTGACGGGCGCTTCGTAAACAAAACCTGCCCTAGCTGGGGGAGACAGAGAGAAGGAAAAAAGGGAAAGGGAAAGAAAATATAAAAGGAAAGAAAGAAGAGGAAGAAGGAAAGAGGGAAACGGGGGAAGGGCGAAAGGCTCTTACCTCCTCCCCCCCCCCGCCAAAAAAATAAATAAGAGAGAGAGAGAGAGAGAAGGGAAAGGGAAAGAAAGAAGAGGAATAAGAGGGAA